GGTCACCTCAGTTTCCTCCACCAAACTGACCACCATAAAATGTTATTAGTGTTTAGAAAGTTGCCTTAAACCTAATCAATCAAGCATGTACAACAAAGATGTCTTTTGTTGTTTATATTTAGATGTGTTGCCGTCTCATTGATGTATTCTTCTCATCCATTTTTATTCAGAAAGAATACTGGTATGTTTTACATTTGATAGTAGTTTTTAATACCTTTTTGATAAAAAAGAAGTGTTGTGTAACTAATCAAATTATATATATTTAGTATACAATAGTTGAATTCAAAATTTATGACCAACTTTGAAATATAATCATGGGAAAAAGCATTGTCAAGCCACAGTGTGTATGTTTGTTCCTTTATTTGTTTATTCGTGTTACATTTGGTACAATATTGGTTGTTGATTTGTGCAATTAATAAGATCTCTTAACTCAAATAGAAACAAAAGACAAATTTTAGAGAAGCTTAAAGGATTTGTTATATACTTTCCAATATCATTGGTTTCATAACTATATAAGCATCTTAATTATCAGCTATTATGATATTAGTAGATTTACTGTGAGAACAGCAGCTCACACATGTCTCACAAAATCTTTGATTTGCTATGAGGAACTTTAAAACAAATACTTTGATAAAAAATTGAATAAAGGTACATGAAAAATTGAATAAAAGTTTATGCATTCAGTTTCATTATGTACTGTACAGTGCATGAGAGTTTGAGGAAATCTAGTCACCAGTTTAAACTATATGTTTTAGATAGGAGATATTACAATGGACAAAAAATGATGACTTCTAACAAGATAAGAATTTTGCCCTATGCTTATTTTGAAAATGTTTATAATGGCAGTATTTTACACAAGTTAAGAATTGACTGCTGGTAAAAACTTTGTAAGAGTTCTATCCCTTGAAACCAAAATGGCATTTTAGTGCTATGTGAACGATTGTTATTTCTTAGTTAATTTGTACAATTTCAATTATGTTAGAAAAAAAAGTGGTACAGCCCTTACCATACCAGCTGAATAGGATGCAATTAGGCAGTGTTTTGAGAATAGATGCTAGTGAAAACTAAAAAAGATGTACAATCTTCTGTTGGTCTTTTTTTCATTTTTACTGTGCATTGTATTGCAAGATAATGTTTGATACTGTGCATTTTATTAATTAATTGTGCATTGGTAATGCTATTAATTGAACATTAATATTGCTGAGTAAAAAAAAAACAAACAAAAAAAACTTTTGAATGTAGATTGTCATGAAAGTAATATGAGTAACAGCATCCAATTACTTTATCATCAATAAAACATGTTACCATAGATTAATTGCTACCAATTTTACTGAATTTGATTTTGAATATATTATAGGAAATATGCTTGATTTGTTATAAAAAAACTGCATTATGACATATTTGTTATATAAGAAGCAAATAGGAAAAAAAACAGTTAAATCTATGGATAACTTACTGTACGAGCTGCTCAGAAATAACTGCTTAGTACTGGCATTGAATCAATGTTGATAGTTTTTACAGAGGATGACCTTGAGGTCACTCCGATGTATTGCTATCGCCTAAATTTCCATTATGCAAATTATTTTTTGGATTTCAACCGATCTATAAAAATTATAGATCCGCGGTCATTACAAGGGAAAAAAGTGCATTTTTATACCTGCGATTCCGTTCTCCGTTCGTACGATGTTTCATCAAAAAATGGAATCATTTCAGTTGTTGATTTAGTACTGAAAATTTGACTGAATTATCTCCTTATTAAATACGGTTTTATATGTTTAATAGGTGTTTAAGAAAGAGGTCAGGTGCTCATGTTCATTCATAAAATTATCGTTCATTCATGAATTTATCGTAAAATCAAAATCACTACACAGGTCACACAGGTTGTATACGTAGTGTCAAAAGATTACCTGTATAGTATCTAAAAATAGACAAACTTAACTGACTCCCCTTACTGTAGTGTGTGATAACATTTTGTGAGGGAATTCGATGTTTGCTATACCACTGTTCATTTCAACGCACTTTATGACGATACCACTTTATCAATATGAATGAAATTTTTTGCAGTGTTTTAAGAAATAATTTTACTTTAAAATCGCGTATCATTTGTGAACTATTAAATGTTTTACAAGGACGAATTTTCTGTATAAAGTCAATAATTGTGTGAACTTTTGAAGCCCAAACTTTTTATAGCCTTAAATACGCTAATGAAAGATCCGAAAACTATACCCATACAGAACGACATGTTTTTGAAATTGTAGCAAAACTTTTGGTTGACAAATTTTAATTCGTTATTGCATAAATATTAACTTGAAATATCTGTCATTTTCTCCCTACCCAGTTTACCTCTATTACTCATTATGATGTGGACTTGACATTGTTATTGAATCTTATGCAATTTGATTGGATTAAGTTATTATTAGATTAACTTCAAACTTTTCATGCTTTTTCGTACGAGTATATTGATTAAATCAGAGCGTGCATGAATGTGTACAGAAAATTAAATGACCTGCAAACTGGACACTGGACCAGTCCATATTACGTTTTATCAATGAATAGATTTTTTTTTTATTTCCCAAATTACAGGGCCCATAAAGGGCATAAAACCAGATACAATTGATTTACATAATTGGTAACAACAACAATAATAGCGGCATATAAATAGATATTTAGTATATAAGCATTGGTCAGAATCAGATGAACGAAACTTAAGGTATGAAAGGTAACAATTGCCACTTTTTATCTTTTCACATAATTTTCCACATACACATTAGATAAATTATTTTTGATAGCCTATTGCGGAGAAAAAAGAGAAAGTTTACTGTATTAATGTTCTATTCCATTAAATACGCCATTTTTCGAAGATAAATGCAGAAAAACATTTATGAACGGCTACGCCAGGTAAAATTGTTGTTTATCCTAAAAAAAAATACAATTTTCAGTTTCATTAGAATATTATAATAATAATAAATCCCAAATTTATGTAGTCATTAGATAAAGTCCTTATATGTCCGATCGTTGGACATCAAAAGACAATACGATCGTTTTAAGGTCAATTTCGTCTACCTCACGCAATCTTGTTAGGCACTATAATGAAATGGACCTGAAATTTATTTCACATGTTTCCTGAAAATTGATAAATATCAAAGCAACATAGAGCTGTTTGTTCTAGTTCGTATAATGACAATTTAATGTCATGTTTGTTTGTGATGACCCCCCTTTTCGGGATTGCATGAGAATTATAGTTATCTCGTATCGCATGAGGATGACACATGTCAACTGAGCAATTATGTTTGGGACTTAGTTTTAAGGAATGATGTCAAAGTAACATTATGAAAATATTTTTAGTAAGCTGAAATATATATTTATTTTTTACATATTTATGTCTTGTAAGATATTTTATTTCTGTCCCGTTTTTCAACATTTGCGTCTGGAAAGTTGAAATGTTTTAACTGAATGGTTAATTTAAATTAATTATGAAAATGGTTAAAATTAAATCAATAAAGGAAATTATTGCCCAGTTACAAACACTACCAGGGGATAATCCATAATGATTTTTTTTTTCAGTTATATGTTTCAGCACATGTATAATTAACCCCAACTTTAGCCTGGTAAACTTGTTGTCTCCTTGTAAAATATAAAACATATTTAAAATGATTTCCTGCTAAAGTCTTATATTGATATAAAGTTAAAACCGTCTTGCTTCTCACTAGTCAACACTCCTGTCCTGTCAGGTTTAATTCTTATATATATGGATGAAAAATAAAAGTCCACAAAACATTAACATGGCAGCAATTGCTTTTACAGACTTTAAGACTTTGATTTTTTTTTACAGAAGAGTGTCCACCATGCACTTGCATTACACTATAATAATAGTAGAATAGTATGATATACATATAGATGAAAATTATATATACATGCAACCGTAATATTAATATAATATATAACAACAAACCAGTGTATTCTCTGGAACTATTATTATATTAGTATAATAGTCTAAGGTATACTGATTTGTATCACTACAATATAATAGTTATTACGGTGAGGTTGAATTTCCTGTCATTTATTCATCATCCAAGCACGAACTTGTATAAGAAAAAAAAATCTCTGTAAATTAACCTCAGTTTCAGGTATAGAGATGTGATCTGTTTCTGTGACATGTGCTTTTGACCATCCACAAGAACCTGTGGTCATCCGATGTTCAGTACTTCAGTACTTTGATTTAATGTTGTTGATTAAGTTGTCTCTTTTGGAAAGGCCTGTATTTATAATCTTTTATCCTTTGGTCAATGTGGAATAGCTGTCTTATTGGCAGTCATGCACAGTAACATACTAAAAATACTAATTTAGAATTTAGATAATTTAGAGCTTGACAAATTGTATAGACACATGTCTATTGTTGAAGACTGTATTTTGACCTCTAGATGTCTTTTGGTTAGTTGTGTTGTTGTGTTGCTGTCTCATTGAAGTAAACCTCACATCTCCTTCTATTCATTCGTCTTGAACATACATGAAATTTTTGCCACTTCATGTTAAGCAATCAACAATCAACCAATCAATCCTTCTATTCATAAATACTCATTATGCTACATGGACTTCAGTAACATGAAAATTTATTCTCTCTGTAATATCTTGTAACTATTTGAGCACTAAATGTTCAACAGTTTATGTCAGATGGATAAACATTTTACTGTAAATGTTTTTGCTGAGTCTTTTATTTTTGTGAAAATTGCTATGGAAAAGGTTTGCTAAAATGAAAATGAGCATTTTGAATTTTATAGCATTATTTGTATTGCAGCATTTCCTGAAATGGCAATAATTGATCTTGCAATTTTGGTCCATAAAAAATGTATGCAAATAATAAATATATGCAAAAATTAATGAAGTAACAGTACTTGAATCTGTGTATCATAACTATTTTTGTCTGGCTGGTCCATGCCAGAATACCATACATAACTGGATTTGTACCATTTTATATATCATCATACATATTTCATTTATAGATAAAAAGACTGAAAAGATGAAGAAACAAACAGAATCACAAACTTACATACAAGCATGTCTTGTCTTCCTTGTGTTTATCTCCATGACAACAGCATCTGGTTACCATGACTACTGTATTATTGGTGCTGGACCAGGAGGCCTTCAGTTAGGATATTATTTGCAGCAACAGAATAGAGACTATATCATTTATGAACGTACAAATATTTCAGGTATGGTAGTATTGCAAAAAAAGATTACATTTTGTCATGTATCAAGTCAGAACCCTGTCAATGGTTGTCCTATGTGGTATCTTACTGTTTTATGGTTTTTGGATAGATTCTGTGTTATGTATTCACAAAGTTTTTAGACTGGACAATTTAGAGCTTGCCATATTGTATAGACACCTGTCTTATGTAGAATATGTTTACTTTTAGATATCTTTTGGTTATTTGTGTTGAGTTGCTAACTCATTGACATATCTCCTTTGATTCATATTCACGACAGGATATTTTATATCATTTTAGTCCAGTGCTAAAGGACTATTTTGCTTTATTTGATTTTATAGCACATGAAATCTATCAAAGAGTTCTCTCAGCCAAAATGTTTTGAAACCCATCCAAAAATAACCCTTATTATATTTGTCCTGGCTTTTCTTTGTTATTCTCTGATTTTGTCTAATGATTTCACACCAAAAATATACAACATGATATCATTTGTCTGTACCTTCAGTCTAACTCCACTTCAACATTTACCAATATGTTGTTGAGAAATAGGATATCCCACTGGATACAGATTTTTTCTCTCATATTAAACTATTTTAATGAAGCTAGAATGTATTCATAATAAATAGTATAGATGCCTTTGGTGACATACAAACATATTTATTTAACATATCTCTAAGACAAAAGCAATGTCATTCAGCTTTGATAACCTTTGCTAAGCATACTGCTATTTAAAGTTAATAGAAGGAAATTACCAGCCCACATACATTTGACCCAAGTTCTGTGCAAATCTTGTTTTATTCACATATTTTACAATGCCTGTCTTAAAACACAATCATCGCATCTTATTTCTAGGATATCTATGGTATTACAATACCATTTGTTAAAGAGCTCTAAAGATCAAGACAACTGGCGCTCCTATTTATGGCTCTGATCATATTAATGCCAAAACAGTTTTAATGTCTTCTGTAATTATGGTATTCCAAATATTTTCCATTGAAAGATTCTCGAGGGATCTTGAATGAATTCTAGTGAGCATCAACTGTTAATGGAATACTCTAATACTAGGATTTTTACGATGCTCATAGTGACAAATTCTTCACTTGGTGATAAATTGGTACTTGCACTTTCAGTTGAATTCACACAGTAAACTAAATTATTTCTCCGTTAAGCTATATAAACTTTGTTTGAATTGAATTGATGAAGACAGAATAGTTTGATTTGTTCTGAATTAAACATAAATTTTTGATATTGCCAAAGTTAAGAGTTGTTTTTGTTTTTATGTTGTAACACTGACTGCTTTTTCATTAAAAAATGTGTTTTCATTTATCTTGATTCAGAAATTTTTTTTATTTTCCACATGAATTTTGCCTGACAAATAATAAACTGCTATTTATTTTGAACTGTGAAAATCTGGAAATTTCATAAGGAAAGTGTGAAAAGATAATTTAGATTGCTATCCTATTGCAAATTGGATATGATATCTTTTCACTTCCAGTGTTAGATTTATTGACAAAATTTTGTTCCATTAACTTAGTTTTATACAAATTCCAAAAATAAAAGAAAAGGATAAGAATTTGATTATATTCATATGGTTGAAAAATGGTTTTTATGATATTTAGGAGTTCCTCAAAAGAATTCATAAGTATTTTTGCAAAAATATTGTCTATTCTTACTGTTGGTTATAATGCAGTCCAATATAATTTCAATTCCCTGTTATGTCAATATTTCATTTGGCATATTTGATATTATAGACCCAATCATAAATTCATGATTGATGCCTCGTAGACAGAGTGGTAACCTTTGAAAACATTCACTTTGTCGCTCAGTATAATAATCTCTCTTTGGATTGTACACATTTGTGCAAAATTATCTCTCCTGGCCAATTTATATATTCCTTATTAAATTCATAACAGAGTTTTATTCTGGTGTACTTTGTGTTTTTGCCTATTCTCTTGAAAACTATCATTATAATAGAAAGATAGAAACTTTAGAAATCAAAAATGATCAGCAAGACAAGACCTACAAATAGGTCAACATAGCTGAAATTATAAGTTGACAATTTTTACGCTTTTTTGCATTTTAGGCAAAATCTATAAAAGATAGATTGAAACTGTAAGGGTAAAAATGAACAGCAAGACAAGACGTACAAATAGGTCAACATAGGTGAAATTGTAAGTTGATGGCTTATAGGGGTATTGCCCTTAAGTGAAGATTTTTACACTTTTTTGCATTAAAGGTCAAATCAATAGAAGATAGATTGAACCTGTAAGGGTAAAAATGACCAACAAGACAGGATCAACTATTAAGTCATCAGAGCCAAAATTGTCAGTCCACATCTTTTATGAGTTACTGCCCTTGAATAATGATTTTTACACTTTTTTTGAATTTATGCAAAAACTATAGAAGATAGATTCAAACTGTAAGGGTAAAAATGACCAGTAAGACAGGATCAACTATTAAGTCATCAGAGCCAAAATTGTTAGTCCACTTCTTATAGAAGTTACTGCCCTGGAATAATAATTTTTACCATTTTTTGTGTTTTTTGCAAAGAGTGAAAAACACACATAAAAATGACCAGCAATACAAGATCAACAAAAAAGAGATGTTAGTCATGAAATATATTCTAGTCTACAATGTTGTAGAGTGAACATTGCTGAAGAAGCACAAATATACAGGTGAGCCACACAGGCTCTTCAGAGCCTATTGTTTTATACATAGAAAATACAAGAAAAGTGTATTTAATTCTTGAATAATCCATGAATTGAATATCATTTTTATTAGGCTTGTGGATCTAATGACTTTCTTTAAAAACTTGATTTAAATATGTCTGATTAGGTAATGCATTTATGTCTAGGTTTTTAGAGGAAAATATATTCATGGAATATGTGATGTTTGAGGCGGAATTAGTTTATTTTTTATTTGTCTGATATAACCTGTTTTTATCACTGTTTCTTACATCAGCCGAGCTCTAATGTCCTGCTAAAAGATTGTCAGAATCTGCAAATTACATCTAAATTCAATTAACTTAGGTCATTACTGTATCATGATAGTGGTGTATCTTTATTTGGTGAAAACGTTGTGGAAGTTGTAAAAACTAATCATTTCCAAGATCAAATCTTACGGAAATTTGTCAAACTATCTCTTAACTCATCTTCTGTGAAACAGTCATGTCAATCAATGTTGTAATTTATTTTGAGTTGGCGGAAACAGATCAGGCAAAGAGTTATCATTTAAATTAAAATCTTTAGGATGAAACAAAGCAAATATAATGTTTGGGTAAATACACTAAAAGTAATGAAATGGGTTTACACTTCTGAAAGAGCTGTTTGATAACAACTTTATGTTTAATTAGGGATATAGTGTTTAACAGTAATTTATATGTAAATAGATGTCTTAAATTAATGAATCATTGAATTCAATTAATACTGCAGATTGAACTGAAAAATATTAGATTAGACCATGTAACTTTTAGGTTTAAAATCTCATCCTCCTTAAAAAAGATATAGGGATAGAGGAAGAATTTTATCTGATTTTTATTTTCATTAAAATTACCTTGAAATTTTTAGAAATATTTATATGAAATATGTATATGAAGGGAAAAAATCTTTGATCGAGACAGGGGGATGGGTATATAAAAAAATAATGTTAGTATGGCCTAAAACCTAATTCAGGTTTTTCCAGATAAGGCTTAAAATTCTATAATGGAAATATATGACATCAAGATTCAAAGTATTTTACGATTGCATTTGAAATGTTCAGGAACCTTTCTACTTATTTTTTCAGTGTTGTTATGAATTATTTTAACTAGTGGCACTGGAACTTAAAATCCCTTAGTGTTATCATCATTATTCAACTATTTAAATTCATATCAATTTCAAGGATTCTTTGAAATATATATTAGTTGATATAGTGTACCTTATCTATGTAATTTTTTATTGGCTTTCCTGTATCAAGGACTGGCATGCCAAAATGATATGTGCAAAATTATCTCTCCTGTCCAAATGAAATAATTAAAAAGAGAAAGCCATTGTCCTGATTAATGCCAAAAACAACAAACAGAACGCAAGTAAGACAGACAGCAACCTGAATTGGGACTGGCACAAGAACAATGTGGTGGGGACTTATACATTTTTATGAGAGAACAATCCTTCCCTTACCTTGCACAGTGGTGTGTAACAACACAATATTAGAACAAACTACAAAAATAAGTTGAATGGCACTTTTGGGGGGTTTCCAACACTCTTCAACTTCTTAATGGATTTGACCTTCCAACTCTTTTGAATTGAGGGCCACTGTTGAGTAGTTCGAGGACAAAAAGCATGTCTGGCTTACTAAACAATAACACCTTTATCTTAAAGACTTTCAACATAGAATAAGTCATAATCACTGAAGCAAGCAATACTTTTCAGTTATGATGTCAACTCTTATTTTGGCGAAATATCTGTGTATTGTGCAGGAGGCTAAGGCAAGTAAAAAGTAACTTTTTTCACATTTCTAAAGTTGGAATAGAATAAGTTGATATGCTTTGTATGCCTGAAGACAAATGGTCTTTCAAAACTTTTATGTGCAATAATCAACATGGGAAGGATGTGATCATACTATTATGATAACATTTCCCACAATGCATTTCACTCAGATTTGTATCTGGTGCCCTGTAATGTTATCATGCTAATAAAATGATTACATTAAGAAGTTCTGATAGATCCTACATTATGTTTTATCTCTGTTAATTAATTTTACATTAAGGCTGATGTCCTTTTACAGCAGTTACGTCTGAGAACATGAATTGTATTCCTTGTATCTTTTACTCATCTAAAGAAGACTAAAGTTACTTGGGTGGGTTAAAAAAAAGCAGACTTTCACCATTCTACTATTTTATTGGTGGTTAAAACTAATTACAAAGAGAGGATGAAAATCAATGTTAGATAACAATATAAATCCATCATGATTTCCTTATTTTATAATCAGATATGATGAGTCTGTAATGGCATCTTCATCCAGCTTTTATAGAATTCATGACTATCATTTTAAACCTAAACAATTAGCTTCGTCAATGTTCATGACAGGGACTTATTTAACTGTCCTTCTTATAAAACACATTGATGATTTCTCAGTTAATATTCATTGCCATGATCATAAGTGGTCATACAGACAGAAATTTATTAAATGTAATCAAAATGTTATTAACTGTAATAAAGGTTGATTTTATTATTGGAAAATAACTTTTTGAGATGATTTACATGTATGATTATTATCCTACATACATGATTTTGTTATTCAATTTAATTAGATAAGGCTGTAGGGGAAGATTAATATAAGCCTTTTCTTCTGTCTTTATAGATAATAGGAAAATTAATGAATATGTAATATATAAAGAATAATATTATATTAGAAAATGCAATAAGAATAACATACATTAAATAAAACAGTAATTAAGCTTATTCCCTTGGGAGATTATGATAATATAAATGTACCTTGATCCTTGAGGTTTGCTATAAGTAATAATCTTCTTTATTTAGCATTTCCCTTGAGTATAAATTTTGTAATTTTACATTATCATACAATAATTAAATAGGTATGTAAGATTTGTCCTTTGGGTAAATGTCTTTGATGATAAATCTTTTCTAATAATTGATATTAAAAATGTTGTGATAGTTCACAAAAAGAACAAGTTACCCATGGCCATAAGCATGCTTAGATAATAATACTAGTAATTAAAACAAGTTGCTTTCTTTTAAAAAAAGAAAAGGAATACGTGAACCTGAGACTGCTGACTGGTCACCAAAAAAATGTTGCTAAATTTATTTGCTTTTGATTTGAAATAATTGGCAGGGAATACAATGATGATGATGTTAAAACACCTTTATTGAAAATTTGTAATTGTGTAGATTCTTGCACGAGTCAATTAATTTTAATTTTTTGTATAACTTGGGAGTATACATCGTTTTTTCTGAGTGTTCAATTACTTAATCCTAATCCTATTGCAATTCTCAGTTTCTGCAAACCAGGTGTCTTTAGCAAATTGCATAGACCAAACGCAATATAAATTTCAGCACTGAATTTGCTTTATAATCTGGATGCAGTTATTTAATCTTTCATATCTTCATATTTTGTTTCCTAGATACATTCAATTATTCTTATTCTCATTATTGTAGCGGTCTGTGACAGCCATACATAATTTATTTGTAAATGTAAGTACTTGGGAAATATTGGATATCAGGTAGAGTGATAGTTTTAAAGTCTGTACAAGTCACATGCTGGACAATTAAATGTGGTCTTATTGCATTACTTATATAAATTCAGCACCAGTAAGAGCTTGACACATGACTTTGAAGCATGGTATTCATTAAGGTATATTAATTCTAGTGTTTCTTTTTTTGTTGTTGTGTTACTGTCCTATTAACTTTTACCCCACATATTTTTTGTGTGTCCGTTATTTCGTCCGTTGTCAGACGTTCGTCCGTCCTTTCGTCCGTCTGTCCCGCTCCAGGTTAAAGTTTTTGGTCAAGGTATTTTTTGATGGGGTATCCGTGTACTGTGGACACATTCTTGTTTTATATAAATTGGTTCTTTTGAGAGAATAATCAGGTTTAATTCATATATATAATAAATTGTCAGTATATGAGAGGTCTGTTGTATTATTTACTCTCAAGAACAAATGAAACATAAAAAGTTGCTTCACAGAGAGTTAAGCTTCAAATGGAAATAACTAATTGAACTTTGAATTTATGTAGACCACCTCTACCATGAGTAGTTAGTGATAAATATCTAAAGCCTTCAAAACCAAATGAATCCTAGTGATGTACTACAGTTTTCCTTTTTTTAAAATACAAAAACTATTGAAATAAGTTTCCAAGCATATCAATTTATCAAATTATGTAAATAAAGCAATTAGTTGTCATAGCAAAAACAACTTGTCAAAAAGACAAATACTTGTATGTATAAAAATAAGATATATTATGTTGCCAATGAGACATCTAGTCACCAAAGACCAAATGAATGTATGCTTTCATATAAATAATGGATAGCTCTGAGTATTAAAAAAAACCAAAAATGGTATCCAGGGAGGTGACAATACCAGGTAGTATTGTGGTTAACTTTAGAAGTCATACTTATGCTGAGTCTACCAAAAGACAAATCAGATCTATTTATAACTTATACTGAATTCTGTAGAAGAATGAACGTTGCTTTTGTTCCCCTGAGCCCTGTGAACCTAGCCAGATATGTAACTTATTTTCCTGCTAGACTACTGTTCAACTCCATTAATAATTTCATGTCAATTGTCCATTTGCTACATTTAGAAGCAGTGATTGCATCCCTTTTGATTTATTTTATGGGGTCTGTACTCAAGGGTGCTAATTGTGTATTGGAATAAACAGTGCATTATAAATTGCCTTATAGCGCCAAAATTCAATTTTCAGGGTTGTGTGTTAGAAATTCTCCTTCCCAGAGTGAGCAACTCTCATCAAAAGCTATCCTTCTTAATTTTAAGCAGGCTCTAGCCATTACCTCCCCCTCACCTATTTTCCTGTTTTTAGTACACAGCAAGGTTACTCCTTTTACCTAAGCTGCTTTTGTAAATACTTAAATATTACTTAGCTTTTTGGGGTTATGACAGCATCAAATATTCGGGGCATAGATGATATTAAATCTTTTCCAAAATTTCAAAATATACTATCAATAAACACAATCTGTCAAGTATTTACTGATGGACACTATAAATAAACACAAACCGTCAAGTATTTACTGATGGACGCTATAAATTAACACAAACCGTCAAGTATTTACTGATGGACATTTTTTTATCAAATCAATCTCTTCTTTTAGTCTTACTTTCGATTTTATGAATATATTGCAATAAAAGATATCAGCAGAGATTTATAAAACCATACTCAAGGTATCTTTGTTACAGAGGATATCTGAATGGCCCATAGAAGCTACCAAACTCACCAATATATATACGCATGAACCCCCTGAGAGCACAAAGTTTTACCCTTGCAAGTAAAGGATATTCCTATCTTATGACAAAGTTACAATAATAGACTCTCTGATTGGTTAACAAGACATAGGGTTTATATGGTAGGAATACAACACTGTGATTGGTTGATAAGACATGAGTATATATGGTAGGAATGCTAAACTCTTTGATTGGTTAATAAGACATTAGCATATATAGTATGAATACTAAACTCATTGATTGGTTAATATAAAGACATGAATATATATGTTAGGAATACTAGACTCTCTGATTGGTTAATAAGACATGAGACATATATAGTTGGAATGATTTCTATATATACAATCAACGTAAAATGATATTTCCTGTACTTTAAAATAAAAAAACAGAAAATGCATCTACACTTAAATTGTGATAGATGTATACTATTTGTATTTTTTTCTGTCATCAATCTTACTTTTACAGCTACAGATATTCATCTTATTATATAAATGAAGGCAAAAAACTGACAGCATAAATTTACATTTAATACACTTTTATTTGTAAATTTTTTTATACTTTGGTTTTGCTAAAGCCTGCAAACAACCTCATAGAAAAATTTTATATTTTGTTGGAACATTTGAATTTGTGGTTCATAAAATCCACGAAAATTGGTATCTGACAAATAATAATGATTCCAGTACTACAGTGGTAAAAGTACATAATTTAGAATAAATCTCAATGATAAAGTACTACCAGTATTGATGGATTTTCTTCTATGATGGTAGAAAGTACAAGAATACTATTAAAGTAGATTACATTGCTATTTAGAAAGAGATTGCTTTTTCTATAAGTTACAGAAATAAGACTATATTCTAGACTTATTTGCAAACTGATAGATAACCTTTTGATATTTGTTAGTAATTTCTATAATAATAGTGACTGGTATTTATCATGGCTGCCATTTCTGTCTGGTCAGAATAATTTTATTCTTTTTCATGTATGATCATGGAGTTCGGTAACTAAGATATTGTTATACTCAGATCCATGACGACCTCTGTCCTTGACTGTCCTTGACTGTCATACAATGACATAAGTATTTATTGTGGGACAGTTATAAGATGGCCATCTTACTCCTTCAATTGATAGATTGTTTGACTTAATTATTGAATTGTTTCTGTGTCAAATCAAAATAATTATTGACAGTAACAACTTAATAAAAACTTCACCTTCATCTTTAAATAATAAAATACAACTCATCTGAATAAGTATCAATGATTTTTGTGTAAGAGTTTTTTTTTTTTAAATCCACAAAATAATGTTGTGGGAAGTTCAGAGTGAAGCTTGAATCTTATTAGCTGGATAAAAATTATGATTTTTTTCTTTCTTCTTTCAGGTAGTTTTTATTCGACTTATCCTCGCCATCGAACACTCATCAGTATTAATAAAAGACACACAGGAAAAACTAATAAAGAGTTCAACCTCCGCCATGACTGGAACTCTCTTTTGAGTAATGATGAATCTTTGCTCTTCCGACATTACTCAAAAGAAATGTTCCCACATGCAGATGTCCTTCTGAAATATTTAGACGATTACACAAATAAACTAAATATAAATGTACAGTATAATACAAATGTCCGAAATATTATAAAATATAAAAGTGATAGAACATTTGCAAAACATGGATACATGTATGAATTTGATGACCAGAATAACAACAGATATAAGTGTTCGTAAGTATTAATTACAACTGTAAGCATTAGCAATGTTTTTTGTCAAGATGTAAAAACAAAGTTGTTTTAATAATTATGAATGCTATCTGGATGCTGTGCATCGATATAATTTTCCAGAAACAAATTATGTTTTTAGCCATTAAAATAATTTGTTTGATAATGTCCCTGTACATGAAAAAAGGCCTTTTCTCATCACTTGGCGTCCGTCGTCCGTCGTCGTCATCGTCGTCAGTCCTCGTTAGCTTTTTACAAAAATCTTCTCCTCTGAAACCACTGGGCCAAACTTGGCCACAATCATCATTAGGGTATCTAGTTTAAAAAATGTGTCCAATGACCCCACCAACCAACCAAGATGGCGGACATGGCTAAAAATAGAACATAGGGGTAAAATGTAGATTTTGGCTTATATCTCTGAAACCAAAGCATTTAGAGTAAATCTGACTGGAGTAAAACTGATTATCAGGTCAAGATCTATCTGCCCTGAAATTTTCAGACAAATCTGACAACCTGTTGTTGGGTTGCTGCCCCTGAATTGGTAATTTTAAGGAAATTTTGCAGTTTTTGGTTATTATCTTGAATATTATTATAGATAGAGATAAACTGTAAACAGCAATAATGTTCAGCAAAGTTTGATCTAAAAATAAGTTGGATGACCAAAATTGTCAGTCGACCCCTTTAGGAGTTATTGCCCTTTATAGTCAATTTTTAACAATTTTTCGTAAATTTTTGTAATCTTTTACAAAAATCTTCTTCTCTGAAACTACTGAGACAAATTTAACCATACTTGGCCATAATCATTATTAGGGTATCTAGTTTAAAAAATTTGTCCGATGACCCCGCCTTCCAACCATCATGGATGACTTGGTTAAAAATAGAACATAGGGGTAAAATGCAGTTTTTGGTTTATATCTCTGAAATTAAAGCATTTAGAGCAAATCTGACAGGTGGCAAAAATGTTCATCAGATTTAGATTTATCTGCCCTGAAATTTTCAGACGAATCCGACAACCTGTTGTTGGGTTGCTGCCCCTGAGTTAGTAATTTTACAGAAATTTTACAGTTTTTCGTTATTATCTTAGATATCATTATAATATCTAATATCTAATACTATTAATTATGATTTTAACCTTATTTTACATAATTTCCAAAGCATCAGTAATTACAGGTGAGCGACACAGGCTCTTGAGAGCCTCTAGTTTAATTTTTAGTTCATTTATTTGTTTTGGAGTTTAGTATGACGTCCATTTTCACTGAACTAGTTCACATTTTTATTTAGGGGCCAGCTGAGGACCACCACCAGGTGCGGGATTTTCTCGCTGCGTTGAAGACCCATTGGTGGCCTTCGGCTGTTATCTGCTCTTTGGCCGGGTTGTTGTCTCTTTGACATATTCCCCATTTCCATTCTCAATTTTACTTATTGATTTTTGGGACAAAGGTCAAGGACACAGCAGCTAAAGATAGCCTGAAATTTCAGCAAACTTTTGGTTTCAAGATGTTATCTTTTGAACGATATCTCTTACTTTTACCAAACTTGGATGAGAAACACCCCTATTGATTTTGGGGTCAACAAATCATCATCTTTTGAATGAATTGTTTAACTTCTAATAAACTTAGTGTGATAATGCCCATTGGATGAAGACAACAACCTCAATGGATTTAAAGGCCTCTAGGTAAAAGTCAAGGTCACACCAGCAATTGATATACTGACATTTAGGCAAAATTTTGGTTTCAGGGTTATATCTTTTGAACCAGATATATAACATTCACCAAACTTAGCCTGAGAAGGCCCATTGGAAAGAACTAGCCCCCTGTAGAATTTTGGTCAGAGTGTCAAAAGTCACAGACACAATACCTTGTTTCTGTCAAAAGAACAATTATAGCAATATAAATTCACTATCAGACCAGTAACAAGAAATGTTTTAGGAGTACAGTTTTAAGTATCATTATGCTTGAACAGTGATAAATAATCTAGGTTTATTTATAGTACATAAAAAAAAAATTGCATCGTTATTGTATGTCAGTTGCTGAGGGAAAATTGTGAAATTAAATCATAGCTTAACAGTTACTGTAGCTGCAAATTGTGATTCTTCCTTATTTGTATTACAGAGTGCTTATAATAGCTACTGGATTATGGGTTCCTAACATTCCAGATTTAACAGGTATTGACTATGCAGAAGGATATGAGACAATGTCCATAAACCCTGATGACTATGAAGGGAAAAATGTCCTTATTCTTGGTAAGATAATTATTATAAGGTAGTAATGTACTAACACATTAAACATTTGAATTGTCTTGGACTCTTTCCTTTGGTAAACTTTATAAATAGTTGACAGAATAACATCATTTACCATGTTGACAACTAAGTGTTTCAAAGAGGAATTATGGGTAATTCATTGTTAATACACCAAAATAGAAATAAGAGTAGGTCATTGGGGAAATATTCATTGTTTCGGTTATTTTCAACCAATCACAAGGGTTTGGTCTATACTTTTCAAATTATTACCCATACTGCATTAAATTTTATAATGTTTACTTGAAAAGGGAACTCACAAAAAAAAATTGGTATAGCAATGCTGGTGATTTAATCAACAGAGGATCTGAATGGCTTTTTTTCTTGGTTATGGTTTTTGGCACTAAGATTGATTGATTGATTGGTGATTGCTTTACGCCGCATCAGCACATAAAGACTATATCCTAGAGATGGCACTAAGAAGGTGTGAACAGCTCCTATAATAACTTGTTATTAGTTTTAAGCCAGTGAGTCATAAATATGAAGAATGTCTAATTCATTACAAAATGGTAACCATGCTTGGAATAGTTGTCCCTGAAGGTTTTTTGATGTGACATACTTGAACGTTCATTAAATATACAATCGTAGGATTGTGATATAAGCTCATCTCTAGGTACTGTTTATTAATTTACACAGCATTTTATCCTTTAATGTTTTGGCTTTTATGTTGATGAATGTTGACACATATCTGCAAAATTATGAAGCCTTTAATTTTAATACAACCAACATTTTTGTTATTGTAGACGTCTGTCTATAGGTAGATGTTATATAAAGTTAACTCTCATATTTATGAAATTTTAACTCAAATGTTTCTTTGCACAAAACAAATTGTATTTATTTTTATGCCCTACCTAGGGGCATTATGTTTTTTGGTCTGTGCGTCCGATCGTTCATCCGTCCGTCTGTCCCGCTTCAGGTTAAAGTTTTTGGGCAAGGTAGTTTTTGATGAAGTTCAAGTCCAATCAACTTGAAACTTAGTGCAAATGTACCCTATGATATGATCTTTCTAATTTTAATGCCAAATTAGAGTTTTGACCCCAATTTCACGGTCCACTGAACATAAAAAAATTATAGTGTGAGTTGGGCAATTCCTTGTACTATGGACACATTCTTGTAATGTATTGTGGCCCAACAGAATGTCTCACAAGATTTAATGACTATAATGTACAGTATTTATTGTTCATTAAATTTTGATAAAGTTTTTTCTTTGTATTCTGCAAAAAAAAATTCTGATTGTTGGAGAAAAAAAATTCTTTTAAAATCAAGAGTTTGACAGTTTAATTTGCTCTTTTCTTTACTAACAAAATATGGAAAATAAGAACAGACCTTGTTAAAAGAATGGAACTAACTTGATTTCTGTATGTCTTACATTTTGAATGAATTGATACCTTTTTCTGCAATAATAAAATACATATTTCAAAATTTCTGCAATAATAAAAACACATAATTCAAAATTCAACGTATGACTTCATATGCTATGAACAATTTTAAGTATTATGACATAGGATTTGAGAGATCAATTCTAGAAAGAAAATATTGAGTGCAATTCTTATCCCTTATAATGTTTACTGTTTTATGCCGTAATAGTATAATGCACCTTGTTATTTAGTTCATTTATTAACTTCTGACGACATTTCTCTGTCTCGTTATACAAAGATGAAGTCTGATACAAACTTTCACAGGAAATTACAATTCTTAATAATGTCTTTTATCAGTAAAAAGTGAAAAGTGTGTAATTAATTGGATTCATTGAAAATATCCATTACCTTATCAATGTTCAATGATTCAGTTATTACCAAGCCTTCGTCATGTCTCACTTCTCAATATTACCAAGCCTTCTCCTTGTCTGACTTCTCAATATTACCAAGCCTTCACCATGTCTGACTTCTCAATATTACCAAGCCTTCTCCATGTCTGACTTCTCAATATTACCAAGCCTTCTCCATGTCTGACTTCTCAATATTACCAAGCCTTCTCCATGTCTGACTTCTCAATATTACCAAGCCTTCACCATGTCTGACTTCTCAATATTACCAAGCCTTCACCATGGCTCACTTCTCAATATTACCAAGCCTTCTCCATGTCTGACTTCTCAATATTACCAAGCCTTCTCCATGTCTGACTTCTCAATATTACCAATCCTTCTCCATGTCTGATTTCTCAATATTACCAATCCTTCTTCATGTCTGACTTCTCAATATTACTAAGCCTCGTCATATCTGACTTCTCAATATTACCAAGACTTCTCCATGTCTGGCTTCTCAATATTACCAAGCCTTCTCCATGTCTGACTTCTCAATATTACCAAGCCTTCACCATGGCTCACTTCTCAATATTACCAAGCCTTCTCCATGTCTGACTTCTCAATATTACCAAGCCTTCTCCATGTCTGACTTCTCAATATTACAAAGCCATCTCTATGTCTGACTTCTGAATATTACCAAGCCATCTCTATGTCTGACTTCTCAATATTACCAAGCCTTCTCCATATCTGACTTCTCTTTTATAAACTTCAGATTGTATAATGATTTTATAGAAGAAAGAAATCTGTCCCAAGTTCAGAAGTTTAAGGATCTATTATTACTATAAATTCAGAAATTATTGCGTGCATTTATTATTGCGATTTTTGGAGAATGGACAAAAATGCGAGATTAATTATTGCGATTTCAGGAAAATCTGCATACAAATATATGTATCAAAAATCAAAATGCGAGTTCTTATTATTGCGATACTCACACAGTCGCATTATTCACATTAATAAAAACCTCGCAATAATTTCTGAATTTACAGTATACAATTAACAAGTAACTGGAATGACACTACCGTAGGAAGTGAAGGAAAATTAAACCTAAATGTACTTTTAAGCAGAAACATTGATTTTTAAAAGAATTTCTGGCAAAGTCTTCATACATCATATATGTATGTAAACTGAATGGCTCATCACTTCTTATCTTTAACTTTCATTTCCGTGTTGGGGATTTTATGGTAGCTGAATCCAATTTTCTAAGTTGTTAATTTGTGCAGTGCTTAAATTTACAGTTAATAATATTTTCACTACTAAAATTGAATTACAAATATATGGACTTTTTATGTCAGATTCCACTAAATTTGGTCACAATCATAAGCACTTATTACTAAAGTATGACTTCACTTAAGAATTTTATAAAAAATACTATTTCACCAAGAATTTTAATGGTAAAACTTAAAGAAACATCCTTCAAATCTTTTGTTTGGGACTTATTTTACTTTGGGTATTGGACAAGTTCTGCATTGTTCATGACACTGCAGTGTGAAAATTACTGGGGGGAAAAGAGATGTAGGTAAAACATCAATGAGACAGCAACCCAACAACAGAGGTTCTCCAAAATTAGACAATTAGAGGTCAACAAACAGGCTTCATAGATGCATAAGTGATTTTTGTCTAACTTTTCTTCTGAAGCAATGACATTTATAGATATTGAAATTTTGTCAAAATTTAACAACATATATAGATATAAGAAGATGTGGCATGAGTGCCAATTTCAACCACATTTAGGACTAGGAAACATGGAAAACAGGGTTCGTCAAGCTATATATTTGCAAAGATCAGTATGAAGATGTAAGCACTATTATTATGTTTCCAGTTCTCAAAAACCTATAGAGTTGTATAAAAATAAGTCCGGTTTACTTTTAATTGGTGGAAAATTGAAATTAATGATAATTGTGTATCATATAAATAATGCTGATATGTTATTTTTTTGCTATAGACCTATATCCTATCTAGTCATTGTTTTAAACTTGATACATTGTGATAATGACCATTAAATCCCTGTTTGAAATAGGGGCAGTGTTAGGGCTTTATGAAGTCTTTCCCTTTTCCAGTTAATCAAACAGTCCTGAAGATATATTTTCAACAATTCAACTGGCCCTTCAAGAAAAAAATTATCTTGATCAAATTTCAAAGAAAGATGTTCATTTATAGAACAGATACTAGAGTTCTGACACCAATACCCAATTCCTAAAGTGTTATAGATTGAAAGGGAGTACCAACAATGATATCCCTGACTTGGGTTACTCAAATAACTGTAAAATTTCCAGTATTTCTACACCATTTCAAATGAAATATTTTTTGTGTCAATTCTTATTGATATTAAATATCAAAGATTTTTATCATTTAACATTCATATTAACTTGATCACCATACGTTATTTACATAGGCTTTTCACAATATGTTGCCTTGGGTACTATTTACAATTTAGAAAAATGCAGATTTATGATAGAAATGTCCATTAATGCACTGTCCTTACATTAATTCAAGTTTTTGTTTTAATGTAAAGTACATGAATAAGAGGCGTACATGAATCTTATATAAACTCAATAAAACATCATTAACCTATTATTGGACAACTTGTCTTGTTTATTCTGTTGTTCTACTCAATTTGCTAATGTAATATTACACGGAAAGGAAGAGTTATGGCAAATCATTTAATTCAGTTGACATTTATTACAGATATAAATCAGCGGAAAAACTAACATGAATATATACGCTTGACCAAACATAATTATTACAAGTTTTAGTTCCTTCTTCAGAGAGAGTACAGATTCTATCTAAAATATTGAGAAATTTTCCTTCTTCTATTTAACCGCCAGACATTAAGGTACTTCACAATTACTCAGCCATGCTAATTGTACATTATAAAGACTAAGTATAGGTTAAAATTTAAAGACTAAGACCTATTAACATTTAGTTAATTGGTATAATAGTGCTTTTACAATAATTATTGATTTGTAAATACTTAAGATGATTATGTTATTACTATACTATATATAAAAGTTATGTTTTTGCTGAGCCAAATGGGTCTGAAAATACTTCCAATTTTTACCAAGAGTAAGGACAAATGATTATATAATATTAATACACGGAAGGCTGATCCAATCTTACAATTTTTTTCACTTTTTGTTTTTTTCTAAAAGCATCCCATTTTTGGATAATTGATATTTTTAAGTCGGTGAAATGCCAGAACCAAAATAGATATTTTTATAATATTTCTACTGTTTTAATTTTGGGGATTGGTTGAATTACTGAATGAGCTGTCACACATTTTTTTTTCTCTGCTTTGTTTGTTAAGTACATTTGGTATATGAAAACTTTGTGGAATTAAAGTATTATAGGATAGTAAGTACTCTTTATTTTATCACCTTGCACTTTGATGACCTGACTGGTTTTCTACAGCAGTTGGTTAAAAATTCTGACCAGTTGAACAGTTTGGTTTGATAAAAAGAATTGCAGTTTGGTCAGAATTTTGAATAAATTGCAATAGGTGGAGAGCAATGCTTTCAGTCAAGTCACAGAAATTGAAATTAAAATCTTGGATGAGTTTGAAAATCTAAGCCACAAAAAAACAAAACAAATTAGGAATCATGTTTCCATTTTCACTGATACAAAATGTGTGGTTTGTAAACTTGCTCACTAAAGTTCTCTCACTTTGATTTCTCTATATATAAATTAGAAATAGGGGCAATGAAACTGCAATCCCACAACCAAATTTACAAACAAATGTCTATAGAGGGCAACAAACAATCTTTCAATATCTTAAATTAACTAACTTGAATAGCATTTAATGGTATTTCTCATGTGTCCATACAATATTAATCAAAACTATATAAAGAAAACAATAAACAGAAAGAAATTAGCCATTAAACACTGTAGTTGTATACAAAGTACAAGCCATTAAACACTGTAGTTGTATACAAAGTACAAGCCATTGAACACTGTAGTTGTATACAAAGTACAAGCCATTGAACACTGTAGTTGTATACAAAGTACAAGCCATTGAACACTGTAGTTGTATACAAAGTACAAGCCATTAAACACTGTAGTTGTATACAAAGTACAAGCCATTGAACACTGTAGTTGTATACAAAGTACAAGCCATTGAACACTGTAGTTGTATACAAAGTACAAGCCATTGAACACTGGAGTTGTATACAAAGTACAAGCCATTTAACACTGGAGTTGTATACAAAGTTCAAGCCATTTAACACTGGAGTTGTATACAAAGTACAAGCCATTGTTGGTTCCAATTTCAGTTATTTGCATTAGTTCGTTAAAAATTTCCCAAATTAGCCGTCGCAGCCCAAATGTTTTACATTTATAATGTATTTTGAAGTCAGAATAGATGAAACAATGCTCATTAAGGTTTTGTGATTGTGTATACTCTTAAGGAAAAGTATTGTCTTCTTTATTAACAACAATTGTCACATTATATCTTGATGAATTACTAAGTTAGTGTACAGAGAGTGTTTCTTTTGATGAAATCTGAATCATAAAATAATATTTCAGGGCTCTCATTTCCGTTATCATCAGTTTCAGACTGACATTTACATCCATAATATTTGATTCTGTCATAATCTTTGAAAGATTAACAGATCTGGGAAGTTATGATTGATCATCGGTGATCCTGATTCCTGCTTGTCAATACAATGTAGCGACCATTTCATTATAATGACCATGTCAAAAGGTTATCGGATATTTCATTGCAGGAAAGTGATGTGATACTGGTGACTTAAGACAGAAAACAAACAATTTTCCACACCCATGTTTACATTTTCTAATTAGAACAGCGCAGGCCAATTTTCAAGGCATACAAAATTTAATAAAGATGCCTCTGTATATGCCAATGTTATAATTCCCGTAGGAAACAAAAATAATTTGTAGCGTGTTCAAATGCTAAAGAAATATTGATGTTTATCAAATTATAGGAAAAACCAAATTGACATTTTGAAATAGAGCAGAGCTGCTAAAAGTTAATGGAAGAGGATAAAAAAAAATTGAATTTGATATTCCATGAGAAATAATAATAAAAATTTTTAAAAAGTCCTTCCTGTTACATTCAAGTACCAAGATTGAAATATTTAGCATATGTACACATTTCCTGAATAATTAATTTGGCTGTTTCATTAATTTAAAACAAAATGATTTTACTGATGTTGCATTTTTATTCATAGATTACTCAGGTGTAAACAATGAAATTAAACAATTTATCATTTATTCTTGATGGAAGTAAATAATAAGGCCAGGAGAATCAACACCCAAACAGCAACTTATATGTTTAAAATCACAAAAACTAGTAATTTCAGAGTTATTAATAAAATTATAAGACATCAATAATATAGGAAATTCTTCAAAAAGTATTGGTTAAGCCCACGTTTAGTTCATAATAAGTTTAATAGGGAGTTAAAAAAGATGCTAATTTTTTTCTATTCATCAGATGAAACAAAAATATGTGTGATGTTTGGACATTTGTATACTGGTCTTATATCGACAAACTGTTGTTTATGTATTACAGTTGTAAGGAGTATGTTTATGAAGTATTATTTAATGCAATTTGTGAGAAATTTAAGTAAAATTATGTTGGATAGGGATAGTTTTTGTTTAACATGTTTACTTATTTTCATGTAAAAGGCCTCAGTGTTAGAGGGTTTCTTTTTATCCACTGGATATAGACCTTATTGTTATTTGGAAATCTGGAATTATTGATGTCATACAACAATCACTTTTCCATTGTGGCGTCAGATGTTTTCTATTATGACGTCAAAGTTTTACGGGAAACTTTGTGATGTCCAGTAATGGCAGACAAATAGCGAGACAGACATGGAGAAGGCATGGTCATAATTTTGGTTCATGCAAAGGAGAAAATCGATCATTTATCACGAAATATGTTATATCATATGTTTTTTTTAATTCTTAGCCACCTATATGAGCATCATTCTAGGGAAAAATATTTTAAAATAAAAATCTATTCCACAGTAAACTAGTATTTGATGAAAACTATAAATCTTTAGTTGAAAAATAAGAAGATGTGGTATGATTGCCAATGAGACAACTATCCATCAGAGACATGAGTGACTGACTAACTCTTCTATATAAATTCACATACTTATAGAATGAGTACCATTCTAAATTTTGCAAATGATTTGAGTAAATATAAGAATAAGAAGATGTGGTACAATTGCCAATAAGACAACTATCTAACAGAGACCAAATGACGTAGATGTTAGCAACTATAGGTCACCATAAAGCCTTCAACAATGAACACAACCCATACTGCATAGCAAGCAAAAAAAAGTCCCAACATGAACAAATGTAAAACAATTCACACCAGAAAACCAACAGTCTGATTTATGTACAAAACAATAAATAAAAACAAATATGATAGACAGCAAAGTGACAACCACTGAATTAGATGCTCCTGATTTGGGACAGGCACTCCACAAGCTTGATGACTGACTGTAGGTATGGTAGTCTTCAGTGACCTGTATTAGTACATAGAGGGTAGCGACAGAATGAAGCTTTTTGCAGAAAATATTAGTCAGAAAAAGGAGCCTCCAAGTTACATTGTAATAAATTATCTGTTTTAGGTCGTGGAAACTCTGCCTTTGAAACTGCTGATCAAATTTATGGTGCTACGGGTTTGATTCATATGGTTGGTAGATCCAGAGTGAGGCTATCATGGTCAACTCATTATGTTGGAGATCTAAGGTAGGTACTTCAGTCTCACCTAAAACATATAATGATACTGACAAAGGATTGTGTTGTGTTCACACATACAGTTAAATATCAATAGGAAAAAATAATCTTTTAATGTAGAACAATAGGGTGTTGACAATACTATTTTGACAACATTTTAAATTGATTTTTGAAATGAAACTGCCATTTTGAAATGAAATCATCCTAAAAACAACCACATCCACTTCATTTTAACATTGGTGGATAGTTTGTCTATTTGGCAATCATACCACATCTCCTTATTTTTTATACAGAACAATGAATTAGTCACCTTTGTTCAGTCCTTCAGTCAAAGCAGGATATTCAGTTTTGTTGAAACACTTTCCTTGAGGCCTGTTAAGATCTCTTCAGTCTACTTTTAGAATGTTCTTATGCTGTAATTTCATGGGTAAAACAATTTTAAAATACTGAACAGTTTGTGTAGTAATGTGACTTGTCTGCAAGTGAAATGTCTGAATAGTACTGGATTTACGGTCTAAAAAAGTATTTGAAAATTATTTTATCTCTTAACAACCCATGATATTTTTTAGTTCAGACATTTCAGATGACATCAACAGATCAAAAACTCATTAAAAATACCAGGTTTATATTTATTGGTACACCAGATATGAGTTTCATCTGCATAAGACTCATCATCAGTGACGCTCAAGTTTAAACAGTTGGAAGTTCAAATCAAATACGAAGTTGAAGAGCATTAAAATGAAAATTTAAAAAATGGTCAAAATGGTCATTTCAGACTAAAATGCATTGACCATTGCAAGTATGTTTTGTTTGTTTTTAGGATGTCGTCAATATCAAAGCTGATATTTAAACAAATGTAAACCTGATCATGATATTTGTAAATTTGTTCTTGGGCTTGATTCTCTAAACAATGAAAAAATACTTGGGAATAAAAACTCTTGTTTGACATTTTTGCAAACTCAAATAGAGTCAACTTCTGTCACTTTGAATTTATATATTATTTGTAACTTAATAAAGTCGGCTTTCTTTGATACAAGAACATCTGCATTTTATTGTTGATAATCTAATTTTTTCAGAAATAAAATGTTTGTTTTAGAGTTAAACAAAAGAAAACCAATCTACAGGGAGTGATTTTTGTCAATTAATTTTTCAGGGCTGTCAATAATGCGTTGTTGGACACATACCAGCTGAAGTCCCTGGATGGATTGCTAGAAGCCAGTATCGATGAAGTTAAGTTTGTAAAGGAGGGAGAGAAATATGGCCTTCAGTTCAAAGATGAGGACGATGGGCCTGGATTGATGATAGATAATTTTGCTTTGCGAGAGCCTTATGATAAAATAATCAGATGTCTGGGGTTCAAATTTGACTTCTCAGTGTTTAAAAAGTAAGTTTATTTTATTGCAGTGAATAGATTTTCAGAATGATAGATATGATTAATTTTTAGTTTTGATGTATTTATCAGTATTAAGAAATATTTTGTTACAGATAAACTATAAAAAACATGCCAGTTGACTTATTATGACCTGAATATGGCCTTTAAACTTTAAAAATATCATGAAAATATCATGAAAATATCAGTGAATATCATATTACATATTTACCTAGTTTGTCATTGTGGTGCCAGTTAAAAGGTTCTCGGTGCTTGTGTTGTATACATTGACATATATTTTTACGTTGGTAAGATATCTATTCTTGAGAAGATAACTCTCTAATGTGTGTTACTTCACTTTCTCTGTTTTGGCCTTTTGAATTATCGAAAATGTTGTGCATTCCAGTAGAGTTTTAAGCCCTAATCATACATTAATTCATGCCTAGTTATGTAAAAAATAGCCTGATGTGCTTCTTAATTGGCTCAATATTGTTAATATATTTTGTGATGAGATTGGCTGGCAATTTTGGCAGTATTTTATAGATTTCATTGGCAGTTATAATTGTAATTTGTTTACCAAGACATTTTCTTCTCTTGAATCTCATAACTGATTCAAACTGAATCTGGTAAGGATATTCTTTATTTCATACTAACTAACTGATGTAGAATTGGCACATGGTACAAAAGTTACCATTACGATTCTATTATAGAACCACACATCCTTGAAAAAAAAGAAGAATATCCACAAATATGATGTGATCATATTATTTTTCTTCACTAAAATCTACCTCTATATTTATAAGGATTTCATTTGTTTTTAGTGTTAAATAGTTTGCACTTAATTGCAAACAAAGAAAATATCCATGTTTTTATGCCTGACTTACATGTATCAACATGATCAATCAGCTAAGAATTTTTATTAAGTGTTTGTCTGTGTAATCAGTTGTCTTCAAAGGTTTGGTTTAATGTTGTTAAAGTAAAGCAGATGTGAACAACAATAAAACTTGTATTTTTTTTTAAAATACTTAAAAATATGAACTGTTAACAATATGGATAAAAAGATCCAACAGTTAGAACTAATTTCCTAAAGCTTGCAAATTAAAACTTTGGTTAGCTTGCATGCTTTGTTTGTGTAAACGTTTGCTCAAGCATTATAATTAAGATTGACAGCTGCAAACAATATGAATAGGCGTACATGTATACATTGTATTTAGATTTGATTGGACATTATCAAATAATCAAATTTAAGTATAATGTATACAGGTTTAACTCCATTTACACAAACAAAGAAAGTAAGCTAACCTCAGCCTTAATTTACAAGCTTTACCTCTAATGTGACTTCAACTTTATGTTGCAATGATGATGCTTAATGTTTTATTGGTATAACATGGTGTGGTATTAAGATACATCATGTTCATCAAATAATATGCTGGCATAATAAATGCCAATAAATAAAACATAATCATAGTTCAGTTATCACTTTTAAACGTTCACATGAATTAATTCTAATGCAAAGCTTCATGGCAGCGCATGATATAAAAATAAGATGTGGTATAATTGCCAAAATGAGAACTCTCCACCAGAGACTAAATGATGTAAAAGGTTAGCTACTATAGGTCACTGTATGCCCTATAACAATAAGCTAAACTCATAACACATAGAAAGCTATGAATATTCTTGATTTTTGTATTAAATCTTGTAGTGATACACTGATGTCTAGAGGTTTTGGGAGATCTAAAAAATTCCCTCGGATAGACCATGACTACCAGTCACCTGACAATCCTGGGATGTATTTAGCTGGTGCTGCCACACATTCATTAGACTTTAGGAAATCTGCTGGAGGATTTATACATGGGTATAGATATACAGGTAAAAAACAAATCTTTTAATTTATTTTGCCTTTGAATTGAATATTTGAGACAAAAAATTGAGGTAAAAAAAATACTGTAAATTCAGAAATTATTGCGAGGTTTTTATTATTGCGACAAATGCGACAGAGTTGTAAACGCAATAATTTAAACTCGCATTTTGAAATATTTTATATGAACTAAACAGGATTTTTCTCAAAATCGTAAAAATTAAAATCGCATTTAAGTTTAAAATGACCAAAATCGCAATAATAAATGCACGCAATAATTTCTGAATTTACAGTAAACAATGGTTTTAAAAAGGATAACACTTGACATTCCTTTATTGACTAGATTAAATCAATTTGAGATATCAGAAACAATCAATTCTATCTTTTAACAGAGTTTTTTTTTTTGGAACCGAACAATCCCATTGTTTCAATTTACCAATAATTGCTTTAAAAAAGTTGAAACTTAACAAGCCTTTATTGGCTAGATTAGAATCAATTGAGATATCAGGAATATCTTAAAACATAGATATTTCTGTAACTGAACAATCCTATTGTACCAATTATACTTATCTTTGTCCAAATGTATTTCTAATTGGAAAATGTCAGTTTTAATCATGATTGATAAAGAGTTCTATAATTTGAAGATAGAAATAATTTTTTCAGTTTCCTTATGAGCATGAAGCTGCAGGTCATATAGTCCTTTGGATATTTTTCATAGATATGTCCATTGTTTGCAAATCCAAAAAAAATATCCCAAAGACCATAAAAGCTACAGTTTCACTGGTAATGTGCATGATGCTAAAAAGTAACGCTCAAAAAGTGGTAAAAGGTGTGAATTATTTAACCTAGTTGTTATATCTCATTATCTTTTCTTATGCAGTTGTTTTATCTTATGGTTAATATTTGTGAAAAAGAAAAATGCAATTGGTCAGAAATTGCAGTTCAAACAATATCCATATGAATAAAAAAAGGTTTCAATGAAACTGCAATCCACCAATAACAAAGAATCTAAATGTCAACAGATAGTCCTAAACTACAAGAAAACGTCTATAGCATTTGCCAAAATCTTACTTGCACAGATTCCATACAAATTTGAATAAGATTTACTCAGTACCTTTAGAAATGATGAAAATATTATTAAACCTTTTACTTTTTAACTCCAAGTGTAAGTTAAATCTGTTTTTGTTGTTTCAGCACGAGCTTTAAGTAGAATTTTAGATTATCGCTATCATCAAGTGCCTTGGCCATCAATGACTGTTCCACTAACACAGATGATGAACATGATGTTGAAGCGTATAAATGAAGCATCAGGATCCTACCAGATGTTTGATGTTTTAGCAGATTTAATCATTTTAAATGAGTAAGTTAGCTACTTATTTGTATTGTTGAACTTATTTTGTGTACATAAATGGAAAAATCTTCTATTAGATTGTTATATTGAAAATATTTAAAAAAAATTTATTCCATCTAGATGTATACAACAGCATAAAAAAGTTCACAAAAACATAAATGATAACAATTTTTTTTTTACATAGCATTATCAATAGACATACATGAGGGTCTGTATTGGGTTTACAATATAGAGAATAATGACCCAAGACTACAGATAAGTATAGAGAAAAGTTGACCAAACAAATAAAGAATATAAAGTAATAGAGTGCTAAAACATAAAGAATAGACAATAATGTGCAAAATAAATAGACTAAAGAAAAATGGCTCAAAGTATTAAAAATTACAGATATCAAGACCCTTATACAGTAGATATAGAAATAAGATGTGGTATAATTGCCAGCGAGACAGCTATCCACCAGAGACAAAAGGATGTGGTTGATAGCAACAATGAGTTATACCATATAGTAAGATATAAATTATATAACGTAAAGTTTGTTTTCCTTGTGATTATAACTTGTATTCAGTTGCCATATCCTTCAATCTTAAAAAAAAAAAACAAGATTTATCTTAAGTTGAGTATTTTTCTTCTCTTTTTTCAAGTGATAACACCACCTTTACCTATCTAGAAGAAGTTCCTGTCAACTTGATAGATAATTTAGAAAAACACACAGGACATACTGCAAACAGAATGATTGTCCTTATTATGCAATATGGCCGAGATTTCTCTGGTCCAGGAAATGATGTCTTCCGAATTAACCGAGCAACTGGAGAACCTGCAGATGCTCACCATTCTAACTTCTTACATCCAGTATTTTATTATTACGAAAGAGTACCTACAGGTTTGTATCAGTTTGAGTCATTAACAATCTGAACTTTTTACACTCAGTATTGTATTATTATAAAAGACACCCTAGAGATTTGAATTAGTTTAAAGTCATACTATAATGAGTTATCTTTGGACCTAGACTAGATAAATTAATCTAAAGCCAACCCCACTAATTTGGGAATGATTTATGGAATTTATTTCGAGAAAACCAGACAGATTGATCCTAGATTCCGGCATCGCGTTGGTGCAGTCTGTGTTTAAAGTTTTTTTTAGACATCAATAACTTTGTCAAACCTACATGGAATTTTATGAAATTTGGACAGAAGCTTGTTAATGACCAAAATACAGTATCCTAAATTTTAAAATATTTATTTTCATTTTTCTGTATTTTACTAATAAATAATTTTTTTACAGTTAACATTCAGATTTAGTCTAAGGTTAAAGTTTTTCAGTCATCAATAATTTTGTCAAACCTTCATGGAAATTTATGAAATTTGGACAGAAGCGTGTTTATGACCAAAATACAGTAACCAGAGCAAAATTTTTTAAATATTTATTTTCATTTTCTGTATTTTACTGATAAATGGACTTAGTTTTTTTACAGTTAACAAGTAGATACATTCTGGGGTTAAAGTTTGTTACACATCAATTGCTTGGTCAAACCTTCATAGAGTTTTATGAAACTTTGGCAGAAGCTTTTTAATGATAAATTGATAATGTATGAAGCAAACCTTTGAAAATATTTTTTTTCATTTTTAGTATTTTTCTGATAGATGGACATCGTTTTTTACAGTTAACATTTGCCAACAGTCTGGGATTCAATTTTTTTGACATGATAAATTTGTAAACCTTCATGGATTGTTATGAAACTTGGACAGAAACTAATCTTCAAGACCAAGAAATGGCATCTAAAGAAATATTTGATTTTTTTTTCAAATTCTGTATTTTACTGATAAATGGACTCACTTTTTTAATTCAACATTACACTTTTACACTGACAGCAGCAATTGCAGGTGAGACAAAGGGTTCCACGGAACCCCTTACAAATTTTTTTACATCTCAGTTCTATGGCTTGTACCAGGAACAAACTAAGGTTCCATAACTGTAGATGATTGAAAAAAGGACCAACAGCTCCTTTATAAATGCTAAGAACATGCCATAATGTTCACATTACTTTCTCTCGTGGTTATACATCAACTTGAAACATTTCTCATTTATCGTCCTTATTATACTGTTATAAAATGATGTCCCGAAATCTAAATAAACCAGGAAATTGTGAACATAAAGATAACATTTGCAAATAATTCTGAAATTTTTAAATTCTTTAAAATTTTTTCAGAAGAAGAAATGAAGCGCAAAACTGAAACAATGCCGAGACCTAATAAGATACATCATATTGTTGAAGATTTTTTGACGCAGTGGGATGGTCCTGTCAGTCATGTTCTACCACTTCGAAGATTTCTTGAAGATGTTACTGATGTAAATTTACGACACTCCTTTGCCGAGGACTGTATGAAGAAAAGATTACTCTTTCAAACTGTTCCCATTTCTTGTCAGCAGGATTTTATGGAAGGTCAAGGGTTGAAAGGAACACCAGATTTAATTAGCCTTTCAAAAACTGCTAAGGATATGTAAAAACAAAAACCTGTTCATCTTGAGAAGATACACTACTCTAAAGTTTTGCCTGAAAAAACTTTTATAAGGATACATAATTAAAAGATAAGCAATGTTTAAAATTTTCCTTGATGGAACAGTCATTTAAAATTTTGTCAAAATAAAATAAGAAGAAAAGGTAATATTTTTAATTAATTGCAGTGATTGCAAAATTAGTGCAAAAGGCTAAAAAAAATTAAAACATAAAATATTTGAATGATGTTTCGACAAAATTCAAATATCTATCTGTATCAATAAGTTTTATTAATTTATTCTCATTTGTTTTAGAAATTGAGCAGTGTATCTAAAGGTAACAATATTTTGGGAATGTCAGACAAAAACCCATCCATGTGCTCATTTTTTATTTGACAGAAAGAACTTAAAAGCATGTGAATATCCAAGAAAATTAGTGCCATACTTAGAAAATCTAAATGAGGTGATTGGAAGGACTAGTTGGCCTTCTTGACTTTTTTATTGTGATATAGGTTGGGTTTTTGTTTGACATGGCTTGGTTTTCTTCAAATTAAAAAAATTTTTTTTTAAAGATATTTATTTTTATAAAGCTGAAAGTATTTTCTCCACAAAGCCAAATTTTATTGTCTCATAATTTTTTCTTTATCTCATTGTATTCTTTATATTAATAAACATGTGCAAAAAGAAATATAAAATGTCAAGAAACCAATATTATTTACATTACTGAAAAAAAATGAACATATCAATCCCATGCAAATGACAAATGTTAGCACTGTTTCAGACTTATGTAAATTAATTAAACAAACTTTGAATTGTATTAATTTTGAAAATTATACAATAATATTATCATTCAATGTCATTTAGAGATTATATATGACTTTTATTGGAAAGATTCAAAAAGTTATACTCTCTCAAATAGTGTATGTTTAACACTGGATCTATTGGTGATAAAAAAAATCAAATTTTATAATCCATCAATAAATAGAAAGTGAGTTATTCATATTTGTGAAATGGTATGATAATTGAATACAAATAAATTGTTAAATCTTTGCAATGCAAAATAAACCATAAATCAAAAGTTAATGTAAGTTTTGTATCTAGTGAAATTTGTTTGAAAATTTGCTATTTATAATCAATCTATGCAAAGAAAATGTAGGAGAATTGTTGATACTGAGTGTAGCCAGCATTATATGTAAATGTTGATACTGAGTGTAGCCAGCATTATATGTAAATGTTTCTGTTTTTATTGATTTATTGCATAGAAATAATCTGTTTATATGGCTGTATTTATTTTTGCTTTTTTTTTTGAGAACTGAATGAAAGGCGTTCTTGTTCTGTAGATATATTCAACTTGTTTACTTTACTCATGACTACAAGGCTCATAGGTATTTTATTTATCAGATTCAAAAAATGCATTATTTTTATTAGACAATGGATGGCCATTATAAAACTTACAATTCCTTTAATTTTGAACACATGTATTCAATTAATACAACTTGAAGACAAAAATACTGTGACAATCATAGATATCGTACCACCATGAAATACCCGTCCTTTACAAAGTGCAACTGAAATTACAGTTCTCCCACCAACCCTAGATTTAAAATTTTTATTGTAAAAACAGTGTATAGTAAAATATATTTCAGTATTTATCATTTATCTATCGATTTTATGGGTGCTAGTTGTCATGGTTTAGGAGACCATCTTTATTTTATTGGTTTTTGTGGGTTTTTTTCCTAGATAAATCAACATGTATTTTGCAGTCACTATCATTTTAAAACTACCAAAATCAGCTCAATATTAAGAAGTACAGCAAAATGGGTTGATTGGGACAATATCTTGACATTTTTTTATTATCAAGGGATAAAAAAAAAGTAGGTCCATTCGATTGGAAATCAAACTTGTAACTCATGAATTATTAAACTCAATAGTCAGCTTAATATATGTCTTCTTATACCAGCTTGATTCAAGAAATCACTTGACTGTAAAATAGGCATGCAGATGGCACACGTTAAATATTCAGTAATAACCTGAGTCAATTCCTGTGCTATGATTTGATTGAGTGGAAGCAATTTGTTGTTTTCCTTTGTTTTGTAAATACTTGTATGTTATTTCATTTGTATTGTGATATGTTTTGTTTACATAGTCTATTTGTTATACATTTTTGATCAGTTCTACAGCAGTGGTAAATAACTTTTGTCTTTTCTTTATGTCTATCTGAAATATATTTTTGTAATATTTATTGTGCTATTTATAGTGCCATATATTGGTCTATTAGTCCAACAGGGGACGTTAATGATTTGAATACAAGACTTGTGCACTTAGTGTGATATTTTGGTTTAATATTAAAATATCATCAATATCTCAAAGTCACCTTAGAGTAAACATGCAATTGTTGTTGTGATTTACTGCAAATTATACAGCTTATGTCATATGGTTTTGAATAGCTGTGATTAAAATTCAATATAGAAATTGTAGATGAAGTATTTCTGTCAGCAACAACTGCAACTATTTTCCCAAAAAATCTTACGATTAAAATTGATAGTAATTTATACTGAATTGTCCCTAACTTACGAATGTTTTACTTGTAAGTTGGTTTGAGAAAAGAGTCACAGGTGCCTAAAATTGTATTAAGTTTCATATATCAAAATTTTGAAGACCTAAACAATGCACATGTATCTATGGATGCCTACTACTAAAAAGTTTGCTTTTTGACCATTTTACAATCTTTTTTAGAAGATAGACTTTCCCTTTACAGTGTTACAGGCAATGGTCCTAAGGTTACCACCGGAAAAAATAGATTTTGTGTAAATAGTTTATTAAAAAATGAAGGGTAAAATGTCTCCCACCTATGTTGAAGAAATGAGTTTTTAACCTTTCTGATATGTTTTTCTAGAAAAACACTCCTTATGCCAATGCGTTATCTTTCTATTTAGGAATTGTTGATAAATCCAGCTGGCTTTCGTCCATTACTCATTTGCTCATCTATAGTTATTTCAATAGAAAACTTATATAAGTGTTTGGTTGAAATTGCTTATTAATTCCAAAATACTTCACCACCGACTTATTTAATTGGTTTAATTGAATAATTGCATGTATTTTTATAAAAAGTTACAGCTAGACTGTATGGGTTTATACTTATGATTTGACCGCTACAAGCTTTAATTAGTTATCTTCAATTATTTTTTCATATTTAATGAACTTGTGTATAACTTTCTGCACACAAGAAAGCATTGTAACAACCTAAAAGTTTGGGATGGAATATACCATTACAACAAACTTGTAGAAACAATGGGGGGATGGAATATACCATTACAAGAAACTTATAGAAACAATGGGGATGATAACAATGTTTTCTTGTAGATTATATTGAAGCTTAAAATTAAAAATACATTTTCGTGAAATTATTGTATGTGGAAACAAATTTGTGTAGTGAACTGACAATACTGATCTTGACACTTTTGTATAGCAAATTGCTTTACCAGTCCTTGTCATAAACTGGACCTGTGAGTGATCTTCTTCTTCCATCATACTTGAAAGTAAAGCAGGAATTGTTTGTATATAAAAAATAAAGGAATAGATAATATATCATCTACTTGTCACTGTGGCTGTACATTGCAACTTACCAGTTTTATTTACAAACAAGGGAAATAACTTTCAACTATTTTAAAGTAAGATTTTTTAATCTAGATGCGAGATAGGACTAGAGCTGCATACATTCTGGGACACTTATTTGTTAGGATGATTGCAAATATTAAGTAAGTGATTTAAATGTAAATTGAATTTCAAAAGTGACAATAAAGTTCTATATATATATTAAGGTAGATTCATGGTATACCGCCATCTTGGATTGTACAATCGCAGTACAAAATCGGTCTAGTTATTTGCCCAAATCTGCAAATTTGGAGACAGATTTGCAATTTAATGGTTAGACTATTTATTTATATAAAGAAGATTTGGTGATTTATTGTATTATTCAAAATATTTAAACAAATATCATTTTTTTTTGTGTTTAGAATCATTTTTTCAAATGAGCCATTTAAGGGGAGATAACTCTTTTAGTAAAAAATTTATACTGGACTAATAGGGAAATTTTTAATTTTTACTTGTAGCAAGAAAACAAGTTCGGTGACCTCATTTTTTCTTTTTATTTTCTTAAAACATATTATAAAACCTATCTTCTCACAATTTATTTCAAAATTGTATCTCATAGAAATTTTTTTATGCACACAAATGTGTTTTTTCATGAACAATCTAACCAAATTTAGGCAATTTTCAACGACTAATAGCTTGAAAAATAGCACGGTGACCCATACTTTTTATTATATTTTTGAAAAGAGCATAGTAAAATCTTCATTTTGGCAAATTATAAAAAAATTCTGTCTCAAAAAATATATACTTATGATCTACCTTAAGCTAAAGATCACAACTACACCCTCTAAACCCCCTCACCCCAAAAAATAACGAGAAAAAAAAATAACACATATTGCTATAAAAGCTGTTCAAGAAAAAATCTGTTGAAAAGGAGATAAATTTTATAGAACTTCCATAAAAAGTACTGCAACATATTTCTACATTAATTTTATCAATATTGTCCAAAAAAGGAAGGAACAGAATAGTACATACTATCCAATAATTCAGCTGATGATTTGTATAATGTATTCACCCGAGTGTCAGGCATGTTAAGTTTGGAATCCAAATCCATAACATTTATAAAATTTAAGATGATGAGGGGAAATATACACATTTTTATACAACTTTTCCTTATATATTGGGTAAAAATCTATTAATTGCATTGGTGGGGATAATAATTATGCATGTTCTATGTAGTTGTATAATAATATTGGAGAATATTTACAACTGATGGATATTATCATGTTACAAATTGCCAGTTTTTACTACACAGAAAGTAAAGATTGGTGTTGTCAGTTCTCAATTCAGTTCCATCCCCAAACTTTGAGGATGGCATATTCCTTAATTGGCATACATAAAGAAAATGGGTTTGTCATAATAATTGCATTAAAGATATTTGTACTACACTTGATACTTTTCATGCAATATAGATTTATTGGTGGTAGAATCAAGTTTTAGAAGATATTCAGAGGTCAAAACACAGTCTTTAACAATTGTGTCTATACCACGTGTCAAGCTTTAAAATTGCCGGAGATTATAGATTCCGTTTTTATTTTGCATTTACTTTCGGTAGAAGTTAATGAGAGTAATTTACCATTTAAATTGTTTAAAATTTTATTTGAAATCCAAAGCCTGTTTAACTGATTGTAGATGGGGTGTTTATATATCTATATACATACTGTTATTTATGAGACCTGTATGCCAGAGAAGCCTGCAGCTTTATCAAGTGATAATAAACTTGTTGAATTGTTAATGTTTTTGTTTTTATAAAGGCCAGTCTCCTTAGCAATTATGTCTGATTTTTGTTTAGGATTTTGTAACCCTTTCCTAACTGCCTCTGTGGTCTCATGGTATGATGTTTGCCTCAAGTGTGGGAGGTCATGCTACTGAACACTGGCTGGGTCAAACCAAAGATTTTTTAACTGATCTTTTTTGCTTCTATGCGAAGCAGGCAGCATTAAGGAGTAAGAGCAAAGGCTGATTGGCTTGGAGTCAGAAAGACATGTCACCCTACCAGGACACATTATTCTGTGGACTTCTACTTTGTGAACTAGCACATTAAAAATTTGGCTCAGCGAGTTGGTCTAGTTCAAAGCAGGGTTAATAATTAAATCGCATTTGGATGTTAAACAGCAATCCATTGTCTTCTTAGTATTCCTTCCTTTCTGTTATTTGTTGTACAAGTTGCCATCATGAAACGTTTTTCTAAAGCTTGTGTTTTTGGTGATGATCTAAAATATATAATGGCTGTCATCATAAAATGTTGTTTTAACACGGAAAGCCCAGGAAGTTTATTAAAAGGGCTGTTTCTTCGAAACTGCATCTTGGACACTGGCATGAGTAATGCACATAGAAGATATGAAGGCCCTCTATATATATAGAATCTTAACAAGGCTACAGTCAATGAACATAGTAATTAGTTTAAACCCAATAGAAAATATATCAAACAAAAGTTTTCCTATCTAATTTAATGGTTGTTTGATAAATCTGGTTGCACATTTATTTGCTGCATTCATACAAAGCCTTTTTCTCTAATGAGAAAGGTAAATATGCTAGATATACTTACTGGAGGTGTGATGAGATGATAAAGCTCTAAATTTTCTCCTTGACAATATTTATGTACGTTTCGGCAATAAAGTTTATCGACAGATTGTAGGTATTCCTATGGGCACCAATTGTGCCCCTTTAATAGCAGACTTGTTCGTTTACTGTTATGAATCACAGTTTTTGGCCAAACTCAGTAAAGAACCATCTAAATTCCATTTAATTGATAAATTCAACAACACTTACCGTTATCTTGATGATATTTTTTCGTTAAATAATCAAGAATTCTCTAACTATACTGCTGAAACTTACCCAAAGGAACTTACTTTAAATAAATCTAATATCAACAGCAATAACTGTCCTTTCCTAGATTTAGATATTTCAGTATTACACCAGAAACTCTACACAAAAATTTACGACAAAAGGGATGATTTTTCTTCCCCTATTTTGGACGGTGATGTTCCTTTGGCACCGTCTTACGGTGTTTATATATCCCAACTCGTTCGCTATGATCGTGTCTGTAGTGACGTTTTGGATTTTAATGAGCGTAATCTATGTATTACTAGTAAATTATTAAGTCAGGGATTTCGTTACCACAAATTACTTAAAACCTTTACTAAATTCTTTCATAGATACAAAGATTTGGTCTGCAAGTTTGGCTGTACCTGTAGAAAACTTATTTCAAACGGAATAGCACATCCTAAATTTTACGGTGATGTTGTGAACTGAGCCCGGAAATTTAGATACGATCCTGGTAAACTTATCAATCCTTTAAATAAACTTATTCTAAAAGGTACCTATTCAACACTGTAATTAAATCTTTGAATATTGTTTTTATTGGTATAAATATTGATTTTGTTATCAGTAAATTAAAACCATACTAAATATTACACATATGTACTTTCACAGTACTACAATCTGTCAATACCTATAGTTTGGCATTGCACAAGGTCATGTTCTTCTCTGACTGTTAAAGACGTATTTACACTAAATCCATTTGATGTTGGATGTATACTGATTGATGTTTTAGTCTTAAGATACATGATTTTTTTCATTAGTTGTTATTGGCTTACTAGCTGTCAGCAACTGCGAGTACTCTCAGATCTGTACTAAGTGTCTTTTTGTTTTTGGGATGTTTAAGTACTTGTACACGTCCACTCTGTGTTTTTGTTCAATATATTTCTATTTGTATTCATCTGATCAGTTGAGCCTTTTTCAACTGATTTTTATACGACCGCAATAAATTTGCGGTCGTATACCGGGTATTGGTATCACGTCGTCGGCGTCATCGTCCAAAGACATTTGGTTTCCGGACAATAACTTTAGTATTAGTAAAAAGAAATCTATAAAATTTAAACATAAGGTTTATAACCACAAAAGGAAGGTTGGGATTGATTTTGGGGGTTATGGTTCCAACAGTTTAGGTATTAGGGGCCAAAAAGGGGCCCAAATAAGCATTTTTCTAGTTTCATGACAATAACTTGTGGAACAGTATATGGATTTCTCTGAAATTATACCACAAGTTTCCATACCACAAAGGGATGGTTAGGATTGGCTTTGGGGGGTATGGCTCAAACCGTTTGGGAATTAGGGGCAAAAAATTGAGAAAAAACAAGGATGTCCTGGTTAATGGACAATTACTTAAGTACAAATTACAGTGTAAGGGAGGTAATTCAAACAACTTTGAATTACCTCCCTTACACTGCTTTTAAATCATGTATAAAGAATTTTTGTATTGTCTTGAGGTGATTAGCTGTCAATTCATTTTTATACAACTGCAAAATTTTTGAGGTCGTATATTGGTATCACGTCGTCGTTGTCCGAAGACATTTGGTTACGGACAATAACTTTAGTATTAGTATATAGAAATCTATGAAATTTAAACACAAGGTTTATGACCACAAAAGGAAGGTTGGGATTGATTTTGGGAGTTTTGGTTCCAATAGTTTAGAAATAAGGGGCAAAAAAATGGCCTAAATACTGTGGATTCATTATTATTCGTTGGATACCAATTTTCGTGGTTTTCGTGGGTACAAGTGAACCACGAATTCAAATGTTCAACGAATTACAAATTTTCTATAGGCTTTGTATGCAGAGATTGGCAAATCCACGAAATCAAATATCCACGATAATACAAGTTTTCCTCAATCCACGAAAATTGATACCCACGAAAATAAATGAATCCACAGTAAGCATTTTTCTAGTTTCCAGACAATAACTTGTGGAATGGTGTATGGATCGCTCTGAAATTATACCACAAGTTTCCATACCACAAAGGGATGGTAAGAATTGGCTTTGGGGGGTTATGGCTCAAACGGTAAGGGAATAAGGGGCAAAAAAGGGGGAAAAACAAGGGTTTCTAGGTTAATGGACAATTACTTGATTACAAAACATAATTTAAAAGCAGTGTAAGGAAGGTAATTCAAACACATTTGAATTACCTCACTTACACTGCTTTTAAATTATGTATATTGGAAATTTGCCAATAACTTTAGTATTAATAAACTCCATTGGAAATTTGCCAATAACTTTAGTATAATAAACTCCATTGGAATTTTGCCAAAAACTTTAGTATAATTGGAAATTTGCCAATAACTTTAGTATAAGTAAATATAAATCTATGAAATTTAAACACAAGGTTTGAAACCACAAAAGGAAGGTTGGGATTGATTTTCGGGGTTATGGTCCCTATGGTTTAGGAATTAGGGGTCAAAAAGGGGCCCAAATAAGCATTTTTCTAGTGTCCAGACAATAACTTGTGGAACAGTGTATAGAATTGTCTGAAATTGTACCACAAGTTTCCACACCACAAAAGGATGGTTAGGATTGGCTTTGGGGGGTTATGGCTCAATCTGTTTAGAAATTAGGGGCAAAAAAGGGGGAAAAACAAGGGTTTCCTGGTTAACGGACAATTACTTTAGCTTTGTTTCTTTATGTTGGTACTTTTTGCTATTTGTTTGCTAGTTCTAGTATGAAATATTTTTTAGCTGTTTCTAGAAACATCAAATACTGTGATTTAAATACATATAATATTATAATAGTGTATATCAAAGGGTTTAGTGGTAATAAATTTTTATACTCAGAATTGATTATTCTTTGTTTGGTTTTTTTTTGCATTAGAGTTACCTCCCTTACAATGGTTCCATACTACAAAGGAAAGACTGGGATTGAGTTTGATGGTTAATGCTCCAAGGGGGATTCGAAAAGTTTGGGGGGGGCGGGGGGTTCCAATTTTGTTTAAGGGGTTCATATTTTTTTCCCCAAAATTTATCGAATTTCTAATTTATGAAAAGTTTCAAGAAGAAATCTTCAATTGCACAGTATTGCACATTAGATTTGTAAGATCTTTGACCACATTTATTTTGTGTCAGAAACCTATATTATGTCAAAAATTTGATCACAATCCAAATTCAGATAGTATCAAGCTTGAATATTGTGTCCAAATTTGCCCCAACTGTTCAGGGTTCGATCTCTGCGGTCGTATCAGGCTGCGCTCAGCGAAGCATTTTATTAGAAGTTACTATTTTAATAATTTTAAAAATGCTGATTAAGGTAAATTAATTTTAGCTATGATTATGTATGTCATTTTCTATTTTAAGAATTTTATGATGTATTTAAATGAGTTATTATGGTTGCAAACTCCATTGGAAATTTGAATTGAAATTATGACCATGACTGAGGGAAAGAATTTTTTTTTGGAAAAAGGGGGGAGGTTAAAAAAAAATTGGTGGTGGGGGGGGGGGGGACAATTTTTTCTCCTCGTTTGTTCTTATGTTGTACTGTTACCACTGTCCCAGGTGAGGGGGAGGGTTGAGCTCACAAACATGTTTAACCCAGCCACATTCTTTATGTGTCTGTCCCAAGTTTTCTCAATTGAATTGTTTCATATTTTTCATGTCGGGGCCTTTTATAGCCGACCATATGGTATGGGTTTTTCTCATTGTTGAAGGCCGTACGGTTGCCTATAAATGCTTACATCCACTTCATTTGAACTTTGATGGATAGTTGTCTCATTGGCAATCATACAACATCTCCTTATTTTTATATAGACAGCTTCTTCTTGGAAATTCCTTCACACACTGGAGTTACAGTATTATAATTGTAGGATGATGTGATGGTCATTTGGTTTTTTTTTACTGTACTAAACTGTAATTTTAGATGGCTGCTATTGTGAAACCTAATTTAACATTAAACACTGTTTGAAACATAAGTAAATATCTTCTTCAATGAATCAACTTCACAGACTACAAATTATAAAGAATCTCCTTTCAAGCTTTGCAGTAATTTTAGTCTTATATGTGACCTGAAAAATTACTTTGTCATTCAAGGTCAAGTAAAACATCAATGGGTGATTACCAAATGAGCAATGTATCTTTTATTTTAACTATAATAAGTTTTCGTTGCATTTTTCAAGGGAAATACAAATAAAAGCTTCCTGAAATTTGTTATCAGGTTTCATGTGAACAGGATTTACCCTGCAATATGTTTTCAGATTCATCAATTTCCTGTTTACTGAATTCCTAAAGGGGGATATCATTAATGAGCAGTAGCTCACAGTTTTACTTGTTTTCTTCATTGTTCACCATTTCAGAGACCGATTTCTCTTAAGTTCAAGTTGCCAACTGCTCATTCAAAATAAGCAGTTCATCTGTGCTCATCTTTCATTTTTAGTTCCCCTCATCCATATAGAGGGGATATTGGAGACTGTTACTGCTTGACATTGTTACTCCGTTTAAACATTACTAGTCTGACACATACCCGGTAGTCTATGACACTGATATTTTCCTTAAAAGTATGTTTAATAATGAACAGCTAAGACCTGCAACTTCAATACAATTTTATCTTTTCAATACATTATGAAGAAAAATGAAATATCCTCTGAAAAAAGGAGCCTCATGAAAAAATAACAGTCATTTTTATAATTGATGATTACTAAAAAAGACCATTTAACTTTAGTTTTGGACAGTTATGGGAACGTATAGTCATCCCTTGAAATGAATTATCAACATTGATTGGGTGTGTAGTAACAGAATCTAACATCAATGACAAAAAGATTCATTTGTCATTCCAATCCTCTATATGATTCCAAGATAATCAAAATTTTCTCTACAGATATTTGAAATTGTTTTTTTGGGTCTTGCATTTTCATCAATTTACTTCTTAAGAAAATATGCTACCTGTTTTTAATTCCACTTTGTTCATCAATCTTGTGGACAGTTTCTAAAGTTTCTAAAAGTTTACAATAAAAATGTCAACAATATAAAATTTGGCACTTACTTCATATAACAGACAAAGTTTACAGACAATATACTACAAGTTTACAGACAATATACTACAAAGTTGTAAAAACCAATCTAAAGCCAAAGTTAAAAATAACATTTTTGTTTAAATGAACTTATTGTCAGGACAAATTTTAAGTTTACATTCCGTATAATTAAAAATAAAATGCCTGACACAATGACGAAACTGTCCTTTGCATGTTCTAGAAAGTATGCTATTGATGCATGTTATAGAAAGTATGTTATTGGTCCAAAATCAAAACCTATGATCAACATGTTCACATGTTTCAATTAACAATAGGGTTCCATAATTTTTAGTTCATCCGATTTATATATTAAAATGGATTTGCTTTCTCTTCTGCTAGAAAACGGACAAAATAACGATCCATTCTTCTTTCTAATTTGTCCATATGGTCTATCACATCCTTGTCCTTTTGTGGTTTAGTATCTAAAAAAGAAAAAACATACCGGTCTGAAATGAAAAGACCCTAGAAACAAACTCACATGTGTAAGCCCCTTTATGATGAAAAAGACAGACCTCCTTCCAAAATAGGTCCCATTATCTGGTTAATAATTATTATAATTGTAGGATTATGTGATGGTCGTTTGCGTTTTTTTACTGTACTGAACTGTAATCTTAGATGGCTGCCATTGTGAAACATAATTAACATAAGTTTGGTTATCCTACTTCAACCAAATATGATTATCACCTCACAAGTTTTTCTGGTTTATTTTAGTTTTGAGCATACTTTATGAGGTGAATGATAACATATTGCAAAAATCGTATAATTTCTTTCTTTGGGTTTAATATTTACAAATTCTATATACATGACAAAATGTATCTTGCTTTCTCAGATCTGGACCTAAAATTTGAACAGAGTAACAATTTGATGGCATAAACCTAGAAATCTCAGTGAACAGAGTCATTTTCTGGTTCTACCCATAATGCAAATTTGAAAATAAGGATCTTAATTATATTTAAAGTCATAATTATAAATTTCACATACATAAAATCAATCATATGAATATGAGTTAAAATCATAGATTAAGTGGGCTCTGAAGATGGTAAACATTGTAGGAGTTCAAGGAGCATAGTATTGTAAAAGATAAATGAACCAGAACATTGCTTCATGCACTCATTTGAATAGTAGGAACTCTCAATCAAAATGCATATCTGCATACAAGGATCATGTCCATGAAATAAACAACGTAGAAGTAACAAATTTTCTGGTAAACACAAAAGGTGTCATTGTGTTGGTGTATAATTGAAGTATACCCTTAATCTCTTTTAATTCATATTTATAAATTCTTGAAATCCATTGAAAATGGTCACTCACACAAATGCATATACATCCACACACACATATACAATCCTTAACATATGAAGAACAATGAACTAAATATTAATACTTGTTCTTCATTGCATGAAAAGTTCCTACCTGTGGCACCCCATATCAATGTCTTAAGTTTCCTACCTGTGGCACCCCATATCAATGTCTTAAGTTTCCTACCTGTGGCACCCCATATCAATGTCTTAAGTTTCCTACCTGTGGCACCCCATATCAATGTCTTAAGTTTCCTATCTGTGGCACCCCATATCAATGTCTTAAGTTTCCTACCTGTGGCGCCCCATATAATTGCTTGAAAAGTTCCTACCTGTGGTGCCCTATATCAATGTCTTAAGTTTCCTACCTGTGGCACCCTATATCAATGTCTTAAGTTTCCTACCTGTGGCACCCCATATCAATGTCTTAAGTTTCCTACCTGTGGCACCCCATATCAATGCCTTAAGTTTCCTACCTGTGGCACCCCATATCAATGTCTTAAGTTTCCTACCTGTAGCACCCCATATCAATGTCTTAAGTTTCCTACCCGTGGCACCCCATATCAATGTCTTAAGTTTCCTACCTGTGGTGCCTCATATCATTGCATGAAAAGTTCCTACCTGTGGTGCCCCATATCAATGTCTTAAGTTGACTGAGGAGGAAATCCACCATTTGAGGATCATCTGATCGACATGAGGGATCCTTCCTACTTTCGGCAAATGCTTCATTGATGATGCTGAGCAGAATGTTAAGTAATATGAACACCACAAATAATACAAAGATAAAGATGTACAGGGATCCAAGTAGTCCACTGACGATCAGGACTGTATCAATGTTCACTTTCATCATCAGCATTGACATAAGTGTCTCTGTTGTCCTTATGAACGATGAATATTCATAATCATGTGGACCAAACAGAAGATAACCACATGAAATAAAAGCAACAAATGATACCAGGAATACAATCATGTAATTAATCAATGGCTTTGCGGACTTTTTGATTGTTCCATATAGCTGTGATATTTTGGCATTGAATCGTACTAGCTGCAGAGTCTTTAACATTGATAAGAACAACACAAAGCCAATAATTATACCAAACAGCTGGTCCCATATAACTATTCTCTGTAGGTTGATAAAATCATCTGAAAATATTTCAGTAAAATTAGTATATGTTTATACCAATCTCCCCCTTTATTGAAAACTTTCATACTGTACAATAATTAAACACCATAGTGCACACACTGAAATGTCCCTCCTGATTTACTGATCATGGATGAATCTTTAAGACAAAGTTTTAAGATAAGTATCATTTAATCTTAACATTATCAATGATCTATGTATAGGATTTCAAATTTAGATGAACCCTGCTAGTTGAACATGCACACCTCATAATCATCCACTACATATATTTAACCAATTGATTTTAGTGTCTGTGAATCCGACTTAACCAAGAAAAAATAAACCTCAACCAATAAACCATGAAAATGAGGTCAAGGTCAGATAAACCCTGCAAGACAGACATTTACATCATACAATCATTCTATACACCATATATATTTAACATAAAATAATGTCCCACATGAAATATTGTCCGTTGGACAAAACTTCATTTAAAATATTGTCCATTGGACAAAATTTCATTTAAAATATTGTCCGCTGACACTATTTCATAATGAAATACTGTCCAGGATGATATTAAATAGTGTCCTTGTCCATGAATTTTTGTCACCTCTTTCTGAACTATATTTCACTAAAATATAAGACCACTCTTTTCTATTTTAGTGTTTTCATGTAGTCCCACTTTCCACACAGCATAGATTTCTGACGTTATCACATGACATTTTCGTGAAAACTTGTTTTTGGTGGTATTACAAATTCTACATTTAATGTTCCCCAATGTATCAGTGTGATGCCCTCTAGATGTGGATTTTTATCAAACTTATAATGTTTGGTTGCTGTCACCACTGATATTTACCCCACACCTTTTTTATTCATACTCTGTTGCACATGAACATTGACTAACAAAAATTCAAAATTAAACAAAAAAGAGAAGTTTTTATGTCAATATTATTGATTTCTTAAATGAAAAATTATTTTAAGATTCGGGATAATGTATTGAAAACTTGAAAATTAAATTAATCAATTATTGTTTTTGTACTTATAGTAATTCATGATATAAACATACCTCTGTTCTTATGAAATTTATCCAGAACTAATTTTGTAATAACAAAGTGTACACCATAGAATGCACAACAGATAATAGACAAAACAATGTTTATAAAGTCAACAACATTCCACAATCCAGTAAAATAGCCTCGCCATCCCTTTTTCCTCAGTTCTTTGATAAATTCTACCAAATAATACAATGTGAATGCTGCAAATATAAAATCAAACACGAACAGGAAAACAGCACTCGGACCAACATATCTGTACATCACTATTGGGTTAACTTCCCAGTATGGAAACACTGATCCGGTTGGTGGATATTCTAACAGTAATATGACGGCGCAGAATAAATTGACATTGGGATTGAACAGATTAAACTCTATAAACAATCCTCTGGTCTTTTTGTCTATCCAATTTGTTTCCTTTATGTATTGTAAAGTGTCATTGGCTGTTTCTGTAGAAGCTCCAAGGTTAACAACATAGCCTCCACCACTGTATGATGCATAACGACCTACAGTTGGCATTCCATCAAGGTCAAATGTATCTTTATAGACCCATGCCTCATCTGATGAGGTATTGGTTGTTACCTCATCCCAACTCTCCACATAATTTCTAGATTCATATGTTTTGGTTCCATAAGATGGATAACAGTCATTCATATAGTCACGTATTTGTATTGGTGTTTTGCAATCATCTGTGAAGAATAAAGAAATATGATAACATTCCATTTCTTACAAAACAAGGAGAAAGGTTTTTTTTTAAAACAAGAATTATTACCAGGTTCTCATAAAACGTGGGAGTCCACGGTTTGTTCTCTTGCTGGACATAAAAGAACATATAAAAAAAGATTCATAACTCATTTGGGAAACAACATTGTTTTCTAGGTTCATTATTATAATTCATTTTCTTTGTGGAAACAGTATCAGTATATATGCCCTTATCCTATCATGCCTACATTAATTAATTCTTATAGAGGAAATCTTAACCCTTTTTCAACCTTTCTAATACCAGAAGACCCATTTTTTCGGACATAATCATTTTTACTTACCATTTCTTATCCTAGTCTGGCTGATCCTAACATTGTATATTGTGTGAGACTGAATGACTTACCATTTCTTATCCTAGCCTGGCTGATCCTAACATTGTTTATTCTGTAAGACTGAATGACTTACCATTTCTTATCCTAGCCTGGCTGATCCTAACATTGTTTATTCTGTGAGACTGAATGACTTACCATTTCTTATCCTAGCCTGGCTGATCCTAACATTGTTTATTCTGTGAGACTGAATGACTTATCATTTCTTATCCTAGCCTGGCTGATCCTAACATTGTTTATTCTGTGAGACTGAATGACTTACCATTTCTTATCCTAGCCTGGCTGATTCTAACATTGTTTATTCTGTGAGACTGAATGACTTATCATTTCTTATCCTAGTCTGGCTGATCCTAACATTGTTTATTCTATGAGACTGAATGACTTATCATTTCTTATCCTAGCCTGGCTGATCCTAACATTGTTTATTCTGTGAGACTGAATGACTTACCATTTCTTATCCTAGCCTGTCTAGTCTAACATTGTTTATTCTGTGAGACAGAATGACTTACCATTTCTTATCCTAGCCTGTCTAGTCTAACATTGTTTATTCTGTGAGACTGCATGACTTACCATTTCTTATCCTAGCCTGTCTGATCCTAGGAGATCCAAGTCTGTAGAAGGTATTGTCAATAATGAAAGGTGACAAATCTGTTCTAGAATCATTCAACCAACCATTGGAGTACAGGCCTGGCAGAACAATCTGCTCCATCCATTCATAAAAATCTCGGGTAGAACGAAGCTATAATAAAAACAGAAACATAAAGACTTTTTTCATAGATATATAAGGAAATGATCTTTAAAATAATCAAAAAATTTGAAACAAGTTTCTAAAAATGACTAGGTACATCCAGCCCCTAAACTGGCACACAAAATATAATTAGTATTGTACAAGTATTCACTGTTTTCACAGAATGATAAATTTTTGTGAAGTTGATAATGTCTGATGACACACAATTTGATTTGATGTATAATTATATGAGATTTAAAGAAAAGGACCAAACACAGATATTAACAAGAATGTGTCCATAGTACATGGATGCCCCACTCGCACTATCATTTTCTATGTTCAGTGGACCGTGAAATTGGGGTCAAAACTCTAATTTGGCATTAAAATTAGAAAGATCATATCATAGGGAACATGTGTACTAAGTTTAAAGTTGATTGGACTTCAACTTCATCAAAAACTACCTTGACCAAAAACTTTAACCTGAAGCGGGACAGACGGACGGACGGACAGACGAACGGACGCACAGACCGAAAAACACAATGCCCCTAAGTGGGGCATAAAAAGTTATTTAGCTTAAAATGTAGATCATAGTGACTCAAATGTTCCAGAAATGTGTAGCTGGGTTGTTATGATAAAATTTTATTGATTTAAAACAATGTGTTTTAAAAAATAGTAGACCTAAAGCAGAAGTTGCAGGTATGCAGCCTTAAAATGTAGTTCAAATCTAGCAAACAAGAAAGGGAGATAAACAGAAAAGGTAAATACCAAATGTCCCTTCCACTTTCATCGTTGGATATAAATACACACATATATGAGAACCCTCAATTGTACATTCCCAATATGAAAAGAGTATAAAAAGCATTCTTTTTAAAGGAATTTTAATTATTACAGTTAATTTATACACCCATTTACTCATATTCAACAGGGAAAGAAATTCTATCATACCAAAATTGCTTACATTAGAAAAACTTTTGTCATATTTGGAATGAGGAGTGATAAATATATCATTTAGATTTCTGTAAGTTGGATAAGAATTGGCATCTCTGTTCTCGTATGCCAAGACAGCCACAACACTGAGATACACCACATATATAAAGATTTTGCGGATGACTTCAAACAATCTGTTCATCTTGAGTCTGTGTTCTCTGGCTTCAATAATGTTTTCTACATCTACAGGATCATGTACAAACTCCTGACGATGCTCTGAAATAATAATTTAAGTTATATTCAAAATGATTCGACCTATAACCAACATGTTAAAATGATAATATCGGTAATAAAAAAAAATCAACAACAAAAAACAACACATTTTCTTTCCAGATCTTGTCCTGAATATGAAATTTACCTCAAGTCACTCAAATGTAAAATGAAGATTATGGTAAACAAAATTTTAAAGTAATATAAGGTTGTTGTTGTAAACTATTAGCTATATACTAAGAACTAGAAGCAAACACAAAATTTAATCAATATCTCGAGTAAAAACACTACTGTATAAGGGAATTGTTAGTTTCAGGATTGTAATTAGTAAATTTTCTTTAATATACCAAGATAAAAACTGTTAAAGAATATTTTTTTTTTTTACCTGGATACACTCTTGTCTTTGGACTCCCTCCAATCAGAAACACTTCTTCTACACTGTCGTCTGCGTCTACTGTCTTTAACACCAATGCTATTACCATGGCCAAGACTATCACCTACTCAAATTCGGAAATAATTTCATCAGTGATCTTTTTCATATTTATACTGATATGTTTGCTTGTATTTATTTCATTTATGTTGTTTATTGGTTACTTCAAATGTAATAAAATTCAGTTAAATATTCAATAAAAAAACATGATACCTAGAAAATAAATGGATTATTAACCAAATATTTTATACATATGACAGACATTATAGTCAATATCATGAAAATTGGTTAATCTGAACTGGAGTGTTGGCACCAGATAAACAGATTTTTATCACATTTTTTTCCCCTATTTAACCTCATTTGTGAGATGTAAACTTGACCTTTTTAGTCTTTTTCCTATTCCTTAGCTAGATTATTTGGATAGAAGTTATTTAGCTAACCAAAAAGGACACTTGTGCAGTGATCTAAATGTCTATTTTTATTTTTCAAGATTAGAAGCAAATACTCGAAAAATGTCTGGTAAAAAAATCATCTTTTAAATGCTATATTAGGCCATTATGACTTATTTGTAGATCTAGAACTGCTAATCATTTCTGCTATTACAGTTTCTTTAAAGTTTCTTTTTATCTCATTTACTTTCAACAAAACAAAAACAAAATACAAAGGGTAAAAATCTTCTTTCAAGGGAATGTACAATTGTTATAAAACAATGATTACTAGAATCATACAAACCTTTAAAGGCTGGACCAGAATAACTGACTCTATAAACGACAACAGAAAAGATGTCAGCCATTTAGAAGATTTGCTGGACCCCCATTCCATACTGTATAAAACTGTAAAAAAGCCTGCTGCTAACACTGATAGTCCAAACAGAATCCAAGCAATATATATACACCAATGTGGCAAGGGGTACTTGGATTTTCCTTTCTTCTTCTCATTTACTGAATGTTCCTTCTCTATTGTCTTTTCTTCATTATAACTATCCCAAGCTGGTTTTGCCGATGGAGTAAACCTAGGATCAATATTACTTGGTGATACACAATCTAGTTCCCTATTGAATTCCGCCATACTATCTCGTCTCTTTTCTTCCTTGTAATTGCTTTCTACTTTAACAGCTGTTGCATGAGTGTGAGGTTTACTCTTTCTAAACAGTGTTATAATCAGCAGGTTAAAGGGAACTACGATCAAAGTGCCAAACAAACTTGTGAAGAATTCCTGTGAGGAGAATGTAAACGGTCCTAGATGAACATTCTGTGACATATCCCCATCATTACTATCTGACTTATACCACATGCAATTTGTGATCATGGTCATAAAAAGAAGTGACAAACAACAGGAAAGTCTCTGAGCTCTGGTGAATGTGCTATGTAAGGGTCTGGAGGCTACAGAGAACCAAAGATGACCATCAGTCATATCCTTTCTCGTCTTGGAGAAAAATAAGTGACCAAAAGATTGCATTTCTTCAGCACTGGCTACTGGTATCATATGATCAATCTGTCCTTCACCTTTATCTAATGCAAACCATTTGTCACATAAAAATGCATATCTGAAAGCAAAGATTTAATTTTTAAATTCCAAAAATGCCTTCTTAATATTCACTATTACCTTATTAGAGTTGCATGTCTTTGTAATGCAGAACTGCCTTTTAAATCTTTTTTTTTTATTAAAATGTAATGTATCATTTCAAAGATACAAGTCAAATACATAGAAAATGTCAATTTTGAATCTGAATACCTATCATTTAAGGTTATTATAAAACAACTTTCTTTTATAAGTCACTTTAAATTCTAGCTAAAATGTACATTTTTTACAGTCTTTTTGTGGCTCCAACATGGTCAATTCTGACCTGTGACATTTAATAATGTTTAAAACCTAGAATCAGATCAGTTTAGACTTGTATAGTTTGGTTAAAAACAATAGGTGACCTGAGTTCACAGTTCTAGTGTTTGCCCTGTGTTTCATGTGGCTTTAAGAAAGGAATGTCTAAAAGTGACTTACAAGATTGCAAGAGATGCACGCCTTCTTCTAAGACTCATAATTTATGTGAGATTATTTTTACCATCTCTATAAAATATATGCACAGTTTATTCTGGAAACTGAAGAACTAATCTTTCTAAACACCTTGAAAATACTAAGCAGCACTCTTTTAAATCTGTTTAAAAAAATCATTACCTTTCCCCTGTCTGAACATCTCTGACCAGTATCATGTTTAACAACCAATCATCTATCTTTGTATTATCAAGCCAAATCCTTAGGAATAATAGGTTACCTAGAGGTTCAGGTACACTCAACAGGTAATTATTTACACTGCCACTCAACATTGGCTGAAACAAAACAAAACTAGGTCTAACATTTACCACAGAGTCATATCAAATAAGAGTTCAATGATAGAAATATTACTCTGAAATGGAAAATGATTTTTGAGGATTTGTTTCTAGGAAATAAATAATTAGGTTGCAAAAATATGTAGCAACCACTGAATAATTGAAAGTACATGTATTGTTAAGATAGTTTTGACATGCAAGCCTCCAATATGATGTACTGAAAATTATAAAAGTTGTAGGTTTCATATAACATATTGTCAGCTGATAGAGCTGTAGTATGAAATTTACCATAATTTCTAATTTCAAATTAATAAAGGGAAACAAATGGCCTACCCTTTTCTCTTGATCTTGCAGTAGTCTGACCTCTGTATCTCCCTCTTCCCCACCTAATACAAAGTAGACCTTGGATGTAGTGCCTGAATTCTGTCGTACACCTGTGTACACTGAGACTTGATAGTGGTAGACATCAGTTATAACATTATCTGCCAGAGGATATATGGCCCACTGAAACAATATAATAGATAGCATAAAGATATGATGCTTCCTTTGTTAGTAAGTGTACAGCCATGGTAGGAATATCACTCATTTCTATGTATTTGATACTGTATTGTGCATAAGGAAATACATTTTAATAAATAATATTGCAGTTTTTTGTATAAAGAAATTATTTCATAATTGGATATTCAAGTAATAGCCAGTTTGCTGTCTCCTTGATAATGCCTTTAACCCTGTGGCAACAGCAAACATCTCAAGGCCAATAAATTATTATTACCCTCTTACCTAGTCAATAGGTATCTAATATTATCCACTTAAAGAATACTTCTAGTGGTGTTACTGAGGTGATTTTATCTAAATTCTTGGTACCACGGTGCTGCCTAAAAATATATAGACCATAAAAAAAAAAAATGCAGAATTTGAATATTGTAACATAAATATATTTACCTTTTTGAAATCTCTTTTGTCAGCTCTAATAACTGGAATAAGTAGAAGGAAATATGTCAACAGTACCAAACCAACTGTAATCAACACAGCTAGATTGTCTGTTGAAAACTTGGAAAACACAGTGCTGAAGTCGATAGTGTTAGGTGGTACAAACATATTCATACCAAAGGCCGACAAGTGATTGGTTTGACATGCTACACCTGTGGTGTTGTCTACAGGTCCAAGCTACAATAATATAAAAAACACACAGTTATAATCCCATACTAAAATAAGGAGATGTGGTGTGATTGCCAATATCATCTATACCCCATAGACCAAAGGTCCTGGATGTGGGAACCTATAGATTGCCATACAGCCTTCAATAATAAGCAAAACCATATTGTATAGAAAGCTTTAAGACTCAGGCATTACAAAATGTGAAACATATTCAAATGAAAAAAAAACCCAATGATCTGATTTTTCCATATCCATATTCATTCCTGTTGTATTCACTATGTGTTTTTTTTTTAATTTAATTTTTTTATGCAATGCATGATAAATAGATGCTGTGACACATCTAAATGTCCAAACTGGATAGTGTAAGTGTTGCTCTCCATATATTGCAGCTCCGACCAAATTGCAATTTGTTTTATTAAACCAAATTGTTTAAACTGGTCAGAAATTTTAACCAACTGTTGTAGAAAACCACAATCAAGTCATCAAAGTACAATGTGATAAAAATAAAGCATACTTACATACCTATTAGACTTTAATTCCACTTTATTGATATTAGGAAAATTTAAAAAAAATTTCTACACATATTGTCATTGTGAGAGTCATTTAAAGGCTTAAAATTTTTGAATTATTTGCTACTGATGTTTTTTGTATGTGTGTTCTAACATTTCAAGTTTGATTTTTGTAGGCTGCATTATAATTTACTTCTGTAAAAACCACCCTGCTGTTTCGAGTCTATTTGTCAATTAGACAGCAATCCATCAATGACAATATGTAAAGGAAGTATGAATGTAACATTATCTATTAATAGATAATGTTACATTCATACATATTTCTAACATATGATACTTACTTTTACGCCTCTTTGGCTCCACTGTTTATCCTGCTCAGACCAATAGTAACATCCCAGTACAAGGACTGCTACGTCAGCCATTGGTGAAACCTCGGTTATATCTGGAAAGAAAAAAAAAATATCTATAAACTGATAATATTATATGAAGTTTAAAACTAAATAGTTGCAAAATATATTAGAGAGGAATCTTATATAAGTTGTCTTTAGTAAGGAATTTTAACCATGTTTTACCTAATAAACAGGCCATGTCAATTTCCATTTGTCAGATATAATTTTGAAAATATACACCTTCTGTAAAAACCACCCTGCTGTTTCGAGTCTATTTGTCAATTAGACAGCAATCCATCAATGACAATATGTAAAGGAAGTGACTGCCTAACAGTTTTGCTGTATTTCTAATTAAAACCATATAACATCTTTACAATCAAATCTTTCATAATGAAGAAACCAGCCCTTACCGTAATCAGTCTCCCGTACAATTTAGACCCTCATAAGTGAACAACACTGACTATAATCAGCATCCAGTCCAATATTGACCCTGATAGGTAAACAACACTTACTATAATCAGCATCCAGTCCAATATTGACTCTGATAGGTAAACAACACTGACTATAATCAGCATCCAGTCCAATATTGACTCTGATAGGTAAACAACACTTACTATAATCAGCATCCAGTCCAATATTGACTCTGATAGGTAAACAACACTTACTATAATCAGCATCCAGTCCAATATTGACTCTGATAGGTAAACAACACTGACTATAATCAGCATCCAGTCCAATATTGACCCTGATAGGTAAACAACACTGACTATAATCAGCATCCAGTCCAATATTGACTCTGATAGGTAAACAACACTTACTATAATCAGCATCCAGTCCAATATTGACTCTGATAGGTAAACAGCACTTACTATAATCAGCATCCAGTCCAATATTGACCCTGATAGGTAAACAACACTGACTATAATCAGCATCCAGTCCAATATTGACCCTGATAGGTAAACAGCACTTACTATAATCAGCATCCAGTCCAATATAGACCCTGATAGGTAAACAGAACTGACTATAATCAGCATCCAGTCCAATATTGACCCTGATAGGTAAACAACACTTACTATAATCAGCATCCAGTCCAATATTGACCCTGATAGGTAAACAACACTGACTATAATCAGCATCCAGTCCAATATAGACCCTGATAGGTAAACAGCACTGACTATAATCAGCATCCAGTCCAATATTGACCCTGATAGGTAAACAACACTGACTATAATCAGCATCCAGTCCAATATTGACTCTGATAGGTAAACAACACTTACTATAATCAGCATCCAGTCCAATATTGACTCTGATAGGTAAACAACACTTACTATAATCAGCATCCAGTCCAATATTGACTCTGATAGGTAAACAACACTTACTATAATCAGCATCCAGTCCAATATTGACTCTGATAGGTAAACAACACTTACTATAATCAGCATCCAGTCCAATATTGACTCTGATAGGTAAACAACACTTACTATAATCAGCATCCAGTCCAATATTGACTCTGATAGGTAAACAACACTGACTATAATCAGCATCCAGTCCAATATTGACCCTGATAGGTAAACAGAACTGACTATAATCAGCATCCAGTCCAATATTGACTCTGATAGGTAAACAACACTGACTATAATCAGCATCCAGTCCAATATTGACCCTGATAGGTAAACAGAACTGACTATAATCAGCATCCAGTCCAATATTGACCCTGATAGGTAAACAGCACTTACTATAATCAGCATCCAGTCCAATATTGACTCTGATAGGTAAACAACACTTACTATAATCAGCATCCAGTCCAATATTGACTCTGATAGGTAAACAACACTTACTATAATCAGCATCCAGTCCAATATTGACTCTGATAGGTAAACAACACTGACTATAATCAGCATCCAGTCCAATATTGACCCTGGTATTTAAACAACACTTACTGTAATCAGTCACTGGTCCAATATAGACTCTCGCAGGTAAACATTACTTACTGTAATCAGCCTCCAGTCCAATATAGACCCTCGTAGGTAAACTTTCTCTGCCTGTCCATAAACCAGATATATCCATTTTAACCAAGTAACTACTGGTGTGGTCTTCTAACTCTGAGTCAGTCAAAATAAAGCCCTTCATATCATATGTAAGTTTACTTGTTATACCACCCTTTCTGACATAATAAGTAATATTAGCAGTTGTATCATCAGGTCTGACAATCAACACTGGAACAACATTAGTTTCATTTAACCTCAGTTCAATAAAGAACATTGGTGAATCTGTTGTGGCTGATAAATTGACGTATGTATAATTTAAATCGTTTAATCCATTTGGATAGCTGTACACCTCAATCTCTGCAGGAAGGTTGTCCACCTTAATCCTTTCCCCGGCATCCTTTAATAATTCAAATGTTGTCACTTGAGATTTGACACTGGAAGTGCTCTGGTCAACAGTGTACAAATTATCTGATGTCATCATCTACATTGTAAAAAAATAGTATTAATAAAATCAGGTGAAAAGTAAAGGAGAAGGACCTGAAAAACCTAATTTTGCCCCAAAAGTATGTAGCAGTTTAACAAATTTAGCTATTTATTGGAAAGAAGAATACTTTTGTTACATAAATATGGGCTGTTTTTTTAACAATACAATGCACATGCATCAGGTACTAGCACAATTTTCACAATATTAGCATGTGTGGTAATTTTTAGAAATTTTTTGTCTAGAATGGAAGTGGCCGCACTTGTTTTCATTCTTTATATTTAAATATATGGTGTATTTGATGATAAAACAGACCATATATAAAGGTTTAGACTGAAAACGAATGCAGCCACTTACATTTTAGACAAAAACCATCTGAAAAGCAACCTTTTTAAGGCATATTTGAGATATTTTGATATCTGTAACAGAAATTATTTGAATAGACTTAAGTAGTTAACTGAAAATATCTGTAACAGAAATTATTTGAATAGACTGAAGTAGTTAAGTGTTTAAAAATGTCAGAAATCTTTCATCATATGTACTTCAAATTTTAGACCAAAATTAGCCCTTACCGGACCTTCTCCTTTCAATAAGAGCAACTAATTAGGACATGTTAACCAAAACAATCATGGATATGAACTCACATTGTAGAGTAAGTCTTAATCATGTAACTAAAAGTGTTGACTTGGTATAGAAATAAGGTCACTTGGACTTCTCCCATCCTGCAGTAAGATCCAAGATGAGGAGATGAAATGAGATGTGTTGGATGTAAAAATTCACAGCAATAAACTGTCGGAATGAGGAAAATAAATCTGATGACTTGTGTAGAGAGGTTGCAACATTGAACAGAAGCAACTGATTCATCCAACATATCAGAAAACAGGGGTAGGGAACATCTGGTTTGAACTGGTTGGGACCCATATAGACCTCGGACTTATGCTTCTTGGTCAAAAAAGTTGCTTTCCCTTTTTACACTTTGCTTTCAAATGGTTGGCAAAAGTAACGTGGCTGATCATAATTATTCATTTAGAAAACATTTTACTAAAACTGAACGAACATAATAAAAGACAGGGCAGTCTTTTAATATGTTAGGTCAGTTTTAGTAAGATGTTTTCTAAATGAATAATAATGATCAGTTTACTTGCCATACTATTTGATGATTAAAATTATATAATATTTTTATAAAAGATCTTTTATAAAATATTCCTTCAGAAGTTTTGTTCAGACTGGACAAGTAGTCTGAGAAAGTTAGATATGATGTAATAATCCAAAGAATTAAATGAGAATATACATGCCATCGTTGCCACTCTGTATATTACCCAATCAACACAAATAAGATATATTCATGGAAAGTCTACTTGTCACATTTATAACAGAGTTTAAAAGTTTGCCCATGTAGTTTTTTTTTAAGAGAAAGAGAAATATATTTGAATATGGACAGTTAAAAAATAAATACTTTATTTGTACATGACAATGAAAAAGAAATTTTAGACGGCAATGACAGAATTAATCAACAACATGATTTGCGGAAATAATTATTTTCTAACCTCTATATCAACAGTTTCTAATTCTGTGACCTCCTCTGGTAATGATTTGGTGACTATTGTTTTGAACTCTGAGAAATCTATTGTCATGTTAACCAGACTTAATGATTCTCTTCTCTGAGCCTGGTATTTAGTGTTTCCCTCTGCTACATGGATAACTGTTGATGATTCTCCTGCCACATTCCCTTGTAACAACAGGCCGGTTAAATTATGCAGTATATCAATCAGCTCTACAGCAAAATTCCCCTACATAAAAAAAACCCATTAATTCTGTTAATTTGTATTATATAAATTAACTTCCAAATTGAAATATAATATCTGTTACAGGTTGGGTCATTCATATCGACTAAATGGTCAGTTGAATTTAGAAAGTTACAGATCAAGGGTTTGGGGTGGACCAACAGACTAAAGAACTAACGGATTGACAGACACACAAACTAGTAAACATAATGCCACTCTACTATTGTAGACGGGGCATAAAAACATCAGCAATGCAGATTTGATTTTGAATATTCATTGGTGAATATGTTATCTTTGCTTTTCCTAAGTATAATTAATGACAATTTCAAAACCTGCTCAGCTAAAAAAAAAATATAAGTTGTATGCATTGGAGACCCATTGGTGGCCTTCGGCTGTTGTCTGCTCTATGGTCGGGTTGTTGTCTCTTTGACACATTCCCCATTTCCATTCTCAATTTTATTGGAAAATCATTTTACCTACCTGTACTAGTTTCTGGTCACAATCTCCCGAGATACATTCTGGGGGATACTTTGTATTCTGACAAAATCTGGTAACACTTGATAGTAAATCTGTGGAATAACAATAGGATGTTTATTGGCTACAAGAGTAATTCTGAACTAGACACTAAAATGCAAATGGGAAATAAAAATTTGCAACAGAACAAACACAAATTCAAGGTTTTTTCCAGTATTTCCCCATTTGCTAATATCAAGGTCATTATAGGTTATGAACACAGGAAAACTAATATTACGTTTTCCCCCTATACTATAAAAAAGCTAGGAAACCATGAAAACAAAAACAAAAAGGTCCAGTTTATATAAAACATTACTAAAGTGCTTATACATTTATTTTTGGCATTGCACAAGTCATGTCTTCTTTGACTGTCCATGACCTTAAAATACTAAATCCCTGGGACGTGTTTTAGTTGATTTTAGTCTCTGATGCACGATTTTTTATTATTAATTGTTTTTGGCTTTTAACTAGCTGTCAGTAACTGAGAGTACTCTCAAATCGTACTTTCTTGTTTATTTGACCTGTTGATACTAATTGTAATGCTTTTTTGTTATTTAATGTTATTCAGGGTTATATCTGGTCTATATAACAGCTTTGATAAGTGTTTGGTATTACTATAAATTTTCACTTCTCCGTACTATGAACATCAAAATTATTTATTTTGTAAAAATATTTCCTTTCTCTATTTGAACTGTACACGTATACCCAACAACAAAATTATTTTCATTCACGTGTGTTTAAAGTAATTGCAAATGGCTGATATTTTTGTTCAAGCATATTGTTTTTCTTAAATTGTTTAACATTTCACAGTGGTATAACATGTTACTTTTATTATTCTTCCCTTAGTTTATTTATTTTGTGTTTACATTGTATCATAGATCAAATTTATTTGTTCAGTGTATGTTCACTGGTGTTAATATGTCTTTTGATTGAGTTAAGCCATTTCAATTGATATTTTATAGTGTGTCTTTCTATGTTGTGATGTTACACTATTGTTTCAGATAAGGGTGAAGGTTTGGTACCATTAAAATGTTTAAACCTGCTGCAATTGTTTGCACCTGTCCTAAGTCGGGAATCTGATGTTCAGTAGTTGTCGTTTGTTGATGTGGTTCATAAGTGTTTCTCGTTTTTTATATAGATTAGACCCTTGGTTTTCCCATTTGAATGGTTTAACACTAGTAATTTTTGGGGCCCTTTATAGCTTGCTGTTCGGTGTGAGCCAAGGCTCCGTGTTGAAGACCGTACTTTGACCTATTATGGTTTACTTTTATAAATTTTGACTTTGATGGAGAGTTGTCTCATTGGCACTCATACCACATCTTCTTATATCTTTTGTTTGAAAAAAAATCCAAAACAAATTTAAATCCAAACTAAAGTAAAAATGGAAATACTTTAGTTAAATTCTGAAGAAAATCACTATCTTTTGAACATAAAGAAGCTCTTTTCCAATTTTTCAAAAATTCAACATAATTGGAATGACTGATTTTTTTTGCAAAACAGAAATATAAGGGTAAATCAATTTTTGAAAATCACGTAATAGTAGATGCTCACATATTAAGGATCACTTCATATAGCTTTCATGCCTAATGTTACTGACAAGACTATAGAAAAGTACACATACTTTTTTTAAATGGAAGATAAATTGAAAATTCATGTGTCATACCTGAAGCCATGCTCTCTTTTTCTTCCAATGACAGCATTGGTGACAAAGTTGTCTGGGCAGACGAGACAAGACCAGTAAACAAATTTCTCATTTTAGCCTACAAAAAAACATTCCAAACTATTCACTATATCCAAATAAAGACATGAAATTCCATGGCAGGAACCTTTGCAGTACTTGTGTTTGTTTACACCCCCCCCCCCCTTTCCAAATTGATTAGACTTAAGGTGATTTAAAGAATGACATGGTATGGACACTATTCTATTGTTGTAGACAGTGTAACTTTTAATTTTTTTAGTATTACTATGTTGTGGGATTTCTGTCACATTAGTATTTTACTAAACATATTCTTTTATCTGAACTTTCAATTTTTTAGCTGTAAATATTGGTTGACCTTTTAAGATTAAATATTTAAACTTGCAGAAATCAAACGAGAAAAAGATTGTACAGTACAAATTTAGTATAGTATAAAAGTAATACTATAAGCAAGTTTTTCCCCTTCCATTTTGAAAATTGTAAGAGCGAGTCACTAAATTTGTTTTCAAAACAACTAAAACTCATTTTTGTGTGTATTTTTTAAAACCTAATATAATCTACAACACATTTGTAAAGGTATTTTATGATCGCATGCATCAATAAACCAATTACCTTCATTGTACAATGACAAAAGTGCATGGTCACATGTGACAACAAACCCATTACTGTCCTTGTACAGAAACAAAAAGTATATGGTAACATGTGACAACAAACTGATTATCAATCTTGTTTACAAAGAAAAGTGTTTCATAACATGTGACAACAAACCCATCACTTTCATAGTTTCAGACAAAAAGTGTATGATGACATGTGACAACAAACCAATTACCTTCCATTTAGAGACAAAAAACATATATGATAACATGCAACAACATGTGACAACAAACCAATTACCTTCCATTTAGAGACAAAAAACATATATGATCACATGTGACAACAAATCAATGACCTTCCTTGAAAACAGACAAAATGTGTATGGTTAGTTTGACAACAAACCCATTACTTTCCAAGTACACAGACAAAATGTTTATGGTTAAATGTGACAACTAACCCATTACTTTCCAAGTACACAGACAAAATGTGTATGGTTAGATGTGACAACTAACCCATTACCGTACAAGTACAGACAAAATGTTTATGGTTAGATGTGACAACTAACCCATTACCTTTCAAGTACACAGACAAAATGTGTATGGTTAGATGTGACAACTAACCCATTACCTTTCAAGTACACAGACAAAATGTGTCTGGTTAGATGTGACAACTAACCCATTACCGTACAGGTACACAGACAAAATGTGTTTGGTTACATGTGACAACTAACCCATTACCGTACAGGTACACAGACAAAATGTGTTTGGTTAGATGTGACAACTAACCTATTACCTTTCAAGTACACAGACAAAATGTGTCTGGTTAGATGTGACAACTAACCCATTACCGTACAGGTACACAGACAAAATGTGTTTGGTTACATGTGACAACTAACCCATTACCTTTCAAATACACAGACAAAATGTGTCTGGTTAGATGTGACAACTAACCCATTACCGTACAGGTACACAGACAAAATGTGTATGGTTAGATGTGACAACTAACCCATTACCTTACAAGTACACAGACAAAATGTTTATGGTTAGATGTGACAACTTACCCATTACCTTTCAAGTACACAGACAAAATGTTTCTGGTTAGATGTGACAACTAACCCATTACCGTACAGGTACACAGACAAAATGTGTTTGGTTAGATGTGACAACTAACCCATTACCTTATCCATAGTATATAAAAAAAAAAATACATATCAGATGTGACAACAACACAGATAAAAAAGTGATTACCTGTGACTCCATAGACATTTCTTCAGTAGAATCTGTCAATTTTGAAAGAACTGAAGTGGTCTGTTTCATATGTAAACCATCTTGGATCAAATCTTTATTGTCAAACAAGCTGTTAATAAGTTCATCTTTCAACTAAAATAAATTATGAAATGAAATGCATTTAAATTTAAACTTAATAAAAGCACATATTACTGTGGATTCATTATTATTCGTTGGATACCAATTTTCGTGGATTTCGTGGTTATAGGTTAACCACGAAATTAAATGTTCAACGAATGGCAAATTTACTATAGGCTTGTATGCAGACATTGTCAAAAACCACAAAATAAAATATCCACGAACATGTAAGTTTTCCTTAATCCACGAAAATTGGTACCCACGAAAATAAATGAATCCACAGTATATAGTATCATATCCAGAGTTAAAAGATTTCTACAATAGAATAGAGAATGGAAAGAGGGTGTGTGTCAAAGAGATAACAACCCGACCAAAGAGTAGAAAACAGCCCAAGGCCACCAATGGCTCTTCAATGCAGCAAGGAAATCTTGCACCAGGAGGCAGGGTTTTCAGCTGGCCTCTAATAATGTATACTTGTTCAGTGAAATAGACACCACTTTAAATTCTGAAAGTTTGTTTCATCTAATCAGTTATGTCATTAAAACCCTTTAAAAAGAGTAAAGATGCGGGTGCTTTAAAAAAACAAAAAAGTGTTATAAATATTTTAGTTGTTCAAGAGACATGAGTCTGTCTGAAATCAAAATATATGTTTTTCTATTGTGTCTTACATACATGTTCTTGTTTTAAGCCTTTAAAAACATTGAACTGTAGTTGTTGTCTATCAGATGCTTGATTCTATAAATCTACATTTGAAATTTAACACTTTCAACAAAATTTTTGTCAAATCTTGTTCAAATCAGTGCATGTTTTAATACATAAAAAACTATCATTAATTATGGCCACATTGAAAATTTTGTTCATCAAATATCTTCATAGGCTGCACATTTGCAAATCTTATATATGCCTACTATCATATAGTTGGTTGAATTCATTAAAGGATATAGTTTTGAATCTAATAATTCTTTCATTAGATTCAGACTAGGTTTGATTATAAGTGGCTCAGTGGTACAAGAAGAGAAGATTTTTGTAAAAAGTCAATGAATGACAGATGATAAAAGATTTGTGAGCTTAAAACTAACCTTTACATCTTTTACATGTGATGTATTAGTGTCAGCAAGACCATCACAAAAGGTTAAAATACAGGACATATCCCTTTCCCGAACACAGACATTATTTTCAAATCCTTCAATAACATCATGACCACTGTCCTCTGAAAATGGAGTAACCTGAAATTAAAAATGAGGAAAGATAATTTTTTATATAATCAAAACTCTATGTAGTAATGCTAAAGTAATGCCTTTTACAAGATTTACTGAAACCATCATTTTATGGAATATCACAGTCACGTATGACAATGGAAAACTTCCATTTGTCAATGCCACAATCCTGTCCTCCTGATCTCATATATTACTGTGAAAGTACTTTTATTCGTGGGGTACCAATTTTCGTGGTTTTCGTGGATGGCTTTATCCACGAATATAAGTGTCCAACTAAATATAAGAACTGTTGTCCAAATCAGGACATGGAAAGATCCCCAATACTGTAGGTTTGACTACATCGAATATCAGCAAACGCACTATGAACTAAAGATGCAACTTCAGACAGAATTCTGTCCATCAAATCTTTAAAAAACCTAAACTGTAGGACTTTTAACCTTTTAATTCTCAAGAAAATTCTAATTCCATTTGTAGCTTTTTTCATGTTACTGTTTTCCTTAAGGGACAAGTTATGGTCCAATTAACACCTTTGGTGACCGTTAATCTGTTGATCAAACAATCTCAGGTTAATTAGTGTCATCACTTCTGATTACACGTGTGCAACAATCAAAATCATACATGTGATGGACTGTGAAACTAAGATCAGGAGTTTGGGAAATTTTGGTCAGGAGATTAGGACTCAAATCAGGAGGTTTTTAATCGATATAAATTCTGTCGTAAATGTAACCGTGTGCTGTAGAAATTGTCTGTTAAAGTGTGTTTTCTTCAACTTTCCATCCGAATGTATTATGTTTATAGTACCCTTGCACTTATAAATTTTCTCTATCTTTTTAAACTTTCAACTTGTTCAATCTAACATTCTTCTTTTTTAGTATGTTCATTAAATTTTTTACGTCATATCTTTTTTACCATTATTCATTGCAATCAGAACATTTGCTTATCTATCTGCAAGTAGATCTTTTATTTTTATCTTTATGCAAGTATAATTTTAATGCATGATGAGTAACACATTCAAACTGTAATCATGGGTCATAGTTATTATATAAATTTCAATTTAAGCCTTGAAAGGAAGTATAGAACCCTCAAATAATTTTCAAATTATTATTTTTTTATTTGTCCTAAGACATTTAAAATCATTTAATTACCATCCTTTTATGATTATTTGTTCAATTTATATTTTATTTATATTCTTTTAAAAATTTACATTATTTAAAGGAAAGTAACTTAAAACAGGATAAATCAAGGGAAGTAACCCAACATTCATTTTAAATACACAAAGTTTTATTACACAACGGCAGTTAGCCTGAGGTAAAAATCATTGATTACCAGTATGTTTGACACCCAAGGTGACAAGTGAAGCCATATAATTATGCATGTTAATTGATTTACAGATAAAATATAACTTCAGGTAATGTCAGTTACACCAGATATGTTGGGCTAAAATTTTTCATTCATGAAATATTTCATACACAGGATTTTTTTGTCTTCAACAGGAGGTCGGGAGGAGACCCCTGAAAACAGGATTATTGTACTCCCATCGGGAGGTTCACATGTATGCAAAATGTTTACTCTGCAATTTCCTTCAATCGAGAACATTTGTAAGAATAGATGAATTGGCTTATTTCAGAAAGCAATTATCTTATTAAAAGTTTGGTGAATGTTGTCAGTAATGAAAGATGAAGAAGTATGTGAAAATGAACACCTTATTTTGAAATGTCCCAGAAATTATTATAAAACAACATATAGTTATTTTCACGAGTTTTCGTCTCAGATGGCTTCACATTCTTCACCCAATTTTTTTTCTTCAAAAAATTTAAATCCACGAATTTAAGAACCCACGAACATGCAACTTTTGCTCAAACCACGAAAATTGATACCCACGAAAAAAAGTACTTTCACAGTATATAATTTAATGTGATTTGTCCATATTTTTTTCGTATTAAGAGTAATACGAGATGAGCCACCATAGTTGAGCAAGAAAGTGTTTACCCTTCAGGAACAAATGAATTCATCCCGATTTTTGTCTGGGTTAATGTTGTTTAATCTTAGTTTTCTGTGTAGAGTTTTTTTTATTGGTGTTTTTTTTCTTCTTTTTCCCTTTAGTTATGGTGTTGTATAAAGTGCCTATGTCACTCACCTAGGTCTATGTGGATAATCAACAAATGACTCTCTCCAACATTGTAGACAAGTATAGAATTCATTACAAAAATTTCTTTTTTTCTTAGATCTTGTTTTGCTGATCATTTTTTGCAACTTAAAGTTTCTCTCTATCTATTATAGTTTCCAAGGTAAATTGCAAACATGAAAACAAATGGTAAAATTTGTCATTTAAGGGCAATCAATAACTCCTATAAGAAGTCATTTGACAGTTTTGACATTAAAGAACAATTAGTACAGCTCAACATTCTTAGCATTTTGGTCTTGTCAGATTTTCTATATTTATAACGGTTTTCAAAATAATAGACATAACTTGTATTTTACCCATATGTTCTATTTTTAGCAATGTAGGCCATCTTGATTGGCAGACTGGGTCATAGGACACATTTTTGAACTATATACCCCATGTTTGGTTAAATTTGGTTCAGTAGTTTCAGAGGAGAAGATTTTTGTAAAAGTAAAAAACGCCGGACGCCAAGTGATGAGAAAAGTTCACTTGGCCCTTTGGGCCAGGTGAGCTAAAAATGGAGGTAGCTTATAGATAATGATTACCTGAATTATAAAAAAAAATGGAAGTGGCCTATAGATAATGATTACCTGAATATCCAAAGTCCAGTTAGTATAACAATGCTGCTTGTCAGTTACATCAACAATGATTCTCACTGTGTAATCGTATTCCATTTTGCCAGGTGGTAAGACAACTCCTGGTGTATCAACCTCTGACCCTGACACTTGGAAAAATGGAACTATGGGATTCTCCACAGCATCCATTACTTGATAGTAGAATGTGAAAGTATAACCGTACAGGTAGTTACTGTCTACAACAGGATCTCTAGCTGGTCTTGTACCTTCATCTAACCATCCTCCACAACTGAATGTAAATTTGCTACTAAAAGCCTCACCTAAAAATATAGTGGACTATTACTAAATATGAAGACACTGAAAACAGATATGAAAATTTCTAACAAGGTAAAACTTTTCAATATCTGGCTTCAGACAAAATATGAACTCATTTGAAAGCAGTAGCTTGGTATTACGGAACAAAACTTTCAAGCTGAGATGGATGGGTAAATGTACAGAATAACAGAAGTCCAATTTGAATTGACCGAATGACAAGTAGATGAATAATACCAACATCTTATTTCATGTCTTACAAGTATAGACATTTCAGTACAATTTCTATTAGTATTTTTTTAAAACATTAAAACATTATATGATTTACTATTTTCTCAACCAGTTGATTATTTTTTCTTAAGCATGTGTGAGTGTCTTGTCCTCAGCTAATCATTTTAAAAATCAGGGGTTACATCCCTTCCCATTCTCTTGTTTAGTGATTGTGATGAAGTCAACACCTAATGAGGTAATTTGGAAATAGTGCTTCCAGCCATTATCTGTTCTGGATATCATTTCTGGATGACTTATTGTCCATTCAAGATAGCTCTCCATATAGTATTATATAGATTCTACCACTGCATCAAGTGTGAGATAGTACATTATTTCTCCACTCCAGACAGTTTAACATTTAAAGTTTTAACTGTTGAGAGTGGAGAAGTATCTTATTGCAGTAACAATATTTTCTTTGTGTAACAAATTTTAACAGTTTAGCATTGTACCAGCTTTCTATGGTCTATAATCTGCATTTAATATTTGCCATTGGATGTTATGCAGCCAAATAAAACCCTGAAGGCATTATTTACTAACCCACATTAATGTCACTCCAACAAGAGCCATCATAAGGAGGTAATGCAACATGTAGTTTTTTTACAGTGTGAGCAGCTCCTGATCCCAATCGTATAAGATAATCCTGTCCTTGCTCTAAATAGCCTTTGTTGATCCTTATATTTGGGCCTTGAACACCTATCAAAAAATTAACAAAATGGTTATTGCAGTTTTCATATTATATCATTTAATTATGTACAGGAAATATGCAACAGAACCGGAGAACATCATTTGAATTCGTATTTAATTTTTTTAAGAAAATACAAACATTGGGACCCTACACTTAAAGTTCTTTTACAGCATGTTATACCTTATTATTATAACTGTCTTAAATAAATTGCTTCGCTGAGCGCAGCTGGATACGACTGCAGATGTCCAACCCTTAAAAGTTGGGGCCAAATTGGACACAATATTCACGCTTGATACAGGTCTGAATTTGGATTGTAATTAAATTTTTGACACATAATAGGTTTCTGACACAGAATAACTGTAGTCAAAGAACTTCAAATTGGTTATATGATTTGAATTTATATTCAATTTTTTGCTTTTGTGCAATACACTATGCAAATTGACACCCCCCCCCCCCCCAAAAAAAAAAAAATTTTACCCCGCTTTTTTGCGTTTGTGCAATACACTATGCTGTTGAATATTAACCCCCCAAAAAAAAAAATATTTGAAGAAATTTTCTTTTAATTTCTGAAATCTGAAATGAGAAAAATTGTCCCCCTCCAATTTTTTTCACCTCCCCCCTTTCCCTTATTCCAAAAAATAATTCTTTCCCTCAGGTTATGGTCAGTATCTCAGACAATCATCATTTCTTAATATATAATTTACAAACAGTGTAAGGGAGGTAATCAAACATTGTTATTTAAATTGATTTGGATTTTGATTTGAATTACCTCCCTTACACTGCTTTCAAATTGTCTCAATTGTCCTTTAACCAGAAAAACCCTTGTTTTTCCGCTTTTTTTGCCCCTAATTCCTAAATGGTTTGAGCCATAACCCCCCAAAGTCAATCCTAACCATCTCTTTGTAGTATGGAAACTTGTGGTATAATTTCAGAGAGATTCATACACTTTAACACAAGTTATTGTCTGGAAACTACAAAAATGATTATTTGGGCCCCTTTTTGGCCCCTAATTCCTAAACAGTTGGGACCATAACCCCCAAAATCAATCCCAACCTTCCTTTAGTGGTCATAAACCTTGTGTTAAAATTTTATTGATTTCTATTTACTTATACTAAAGTTATTATCCGGAAACCATCTGTCTTCGGACGACGCTGACGACGACAACGACAACGTGATACCAATATACGACCAAAATTTTTTTAATTTTTGTGGTTGTATAAAAAAACAGAACAATAAAAGTTTCAACTTACTAATAGCTTTATAACTCAAATATACAACTTTTTTAAGGGAATGTACAGAAAATTTACATTTTGTTTTGAAGCAAGAAAATTAGTCCTGTGACTCAATTTGATCTTTTTTTTCTGAAAGCACATTATAAGAGCTAATTCCTCATATCTTTTAATTCTATTTACATTTACAAAATAAATGTTTTTTCCAAGTATAACCTGTACAAAAGCTGACACTACTTTAATATACATACCAGTGTCTGTCCATGTTGTAAAGTCCATAATCTCAACTGGACCACCTCCTTCTAGTTTAAAGAGTCTCCAATTGTAATCAATACCTAGTCTGTTTTTTTGAGTGCAGGTTTCACAAAGTCCTTTGAATCTTACATGCTTAGAAGGACTAACTACATCTACACAGTTCTGCATACATCTGTAAGTGTAAAGCAAAATATTGTCCTATGAAATATTGTCCCCCAAGACAATATTTCATGACTTTGTATCATAAAATTTTGTCCGTATCTATGAAATAATGTCCAGAGAAGGACAAAATTCCATATGAAATTTTGTCCATATACAGACAATATGTCATAGATGAATGATATGAAATTTTGTCTTGTTAAAGGGAGGTTATCCAAGGTTATATATTGTGTACATTGAGACAATATGTCATAGATGGATTGTCATGAAATTTTGTCTCATGAAAGGGAAGTTTGTTATAAACATTTAATATTTGAGATAATGATATCATGAAAAATATTTAAAAATAAAAACGCTCACAATTTCATGGCAGAGGATTTCTTAGGGAATATATAATTAGATTTAGAAATTTTTCATGGACAGTATTTCATGCAGCATATTATTTTATTTTACATAAACATGTCAAATGGTTTGTATCAGAGATTAGTGTAAAAGCAGAAATTTTCAAAGCAGTTTTAATTTTTCATTTTTGTAAATAAAAATTTTCCATGAAATTAAAAACCTCATTGAAGTGTAACCATACAAAGTATACAACTTTTACATACTGGAAACCATTAAAATTAATCAACATGCACAGAAAATCAAATAAAGAGATAAAAACACTCAATTTAATCCCAACGAAAATTAGTGTTTCTACATTAGATAGACTAACAATAATGACTTTATAGTTAATTGTTGGTCATGTATTTGGCCAGATTAAAACAAATATTTAATTATATGGTCAATTATATAATTCCTTTAATCTAATAAAAAAAAAATAGTCAGACTTTCATGTATTAAACTTAATTTTCAAATGTAGATGAATGCAATATATATGAGTTACAAATTTGTGCCTTCAAAAGGTACCTTGTGTGTCTAATGGATCAATCCTTACCAATTCTAAATTATTCACATTTAAAAAAATTCAAAACTTTTTGTTAAGCATTGCATCTTACATTTTGATGGTATCTGCAGTGAATAAAACCATTGTAAAATGGGGTATTGTGGGAAAAATTTATATCTACAATAACTCCTGTAAATATTTTCTTTTCAACACAGTGGTATTGCTTACTTTAATACTAGTTCTGGTAAATCTGATCCAAGAATCTTCACTTGTTGTGCTTTGGCTTCTAATCTGTTTCCACTGGTCATCTTTCCAACAAAATAATAGTCTGGACCACTCAGTAAGGCATTAGGTATTGTCAAAACTGTCCAGTTAGCATTTGCCATGTCTAATGTTGGAAAACAGGAAGCTGAACCAATTTCATGTAACGTAATGGTATTGATGTCAAATTCTGAAAGGCCAGATGAAGGGTACCAGCAGTACCATGTGAAATTATACTGGATCCCTTTCAGTGGATAATCAGGATCATAAGACCATGAAGCATTCATTACCAGTGAGGAACCTGACCTGATAGTACGTAAATCGTCTCCCTTCATCAGAAGTACAAGTGGAGTTTGCTTAATTTCAATGTAAGTAGTATCTGTGTCATTGAATTCTAAATAATTCTGGATCAGCACTGTCACATTAACTTGATACAATCCATAGTCTAACGAATTAGCTGGGAGAATAAGATATGGTAACGTTGATGTGTCTAACCTGACCTCATCCATACCAGGGTCCATAGGAGTGATCGTCCAGTCAAATAGTACCGTCTGTAAAGGATCGCAGAAAGTATCTGACACAGCTCTAATGACGGCATTATCTGACGCATAAACTTTAGTTGGATCTACGACATCGTGAGACAAACCATAGATCTTAACAGCAGGGTAAGTACAAGGAAATTTTAATATGGTAAACTTTTTTGTAAATATTTCATACGACACTTCGTTCGATCCATTTACTACAAGATTGTATTCTCCGGGTGTGTCAAATTCTAAATAAAATACAACTGGATTTCCCTTGGCATATGTAAAATTCATACCAATGAATTCTGGCTTTGACTGACAGAAATATCCTCCAACAAGTTCAGTCTTATTACCCATATCAAAAACAAAACAACTGTTTGTACCAGGCACATTTAAATTAATATGATAATAGAATGGATAATTCATTTTTCCAATATGACGTGATAAGACTGCCATACCTAGTATTTTTTCCTGAACATAAATTGTGACATTCCGTTTTTCACTATTAAAAGAACCGTTTGCTAAAATACTGACATCATACACTCCAACTTGGTCGTAAGATTTTTCAACTAAGTGGCCAGCGTATGGTGCAGTGTAAACATTCTCAGTTGAATTGATAGTACCATCACTAAAATCCAGCCTATAACTGACCTGAGATCCAGTTCCTATGTCTAAAGCTATACTGAATACTTCACCCACTGGGACATATACTGAACTTGATGTAACAGTTAAGTTTGTTATTAGTCTTCCAACCATCACAATCTGTGTAAAATTTATCCTACTTACATTATTCCATAGAGTAACGTGAACAGTGTAGAAACCATTCAATGTGTAATTGTGTAATAAGGTCATTGAAGTCCCGATAAATTCTACTGAAAATTCGTCTAATGATTCATCATCTCCAAAACTTATATTCAATAGTGCATTTGTAGGTGGCAGCAGAGAATTGTTTATTTCGAATGTGAAATTTACAAAGTCATATGGGTCTTCTACATCAATTGTAACCATAGTAACATTATTTACAGGTACTTCAACATAGATGATCTCAACTACTGTCATATTTGACACAGAATTCTCTAAATAATATGTGATAAAGTATTCTCCTGGACTGGTATAGGCATGGATGTTATAACTCAGTAAATTATTTATGCCACTATCATCATCTATGGTTAATGAATCATTCTGTATGCTGTCCCCAAAGTTCAGGTGTATGTATATATTTGAACCTTCCTGGATGGCTAATTCAAAGGAAACATTATCAATGACTTTAACAAACTTTTTAAAGTTAAGACTGACATTGAAAATGACAAGGTCAATATACACAATATGTGACAAATCAAACGGACCTGACACGGGATTCCATACTGTTATATTCAGATGATGTTCTCCCGTTCTGTTGTATATTTCTTGCAGAAAATTAAACGATACTGTACCATTGGGATCAGCATAGAATGGATTAAATACCATGATATTATTCCATTTGACATCCATAGAAATATTTGATCCCTGAACAAAGAATAAATCTACCGATACATTCTGTCCAAAAATAACCGAATCTGGTGCCATCATTGATAAGTTTACAATAGGATCAATAGCAATGAGAAGTGACGAGTTATATTCCTGAGACAACTCATTGTAACAAGTAACATTTATGTCGGCATGCTGTTCAAAAGTATATACATGAGTAAAGACGAATGGTATTGACGAGTTGGGCTGGAACATGGTGTCATTGGTCCCATCACCAAAATCAACGTTGCATGTTATCAAAGTACCTTGTTGAACATTGATAATGATCTGTTTGGCAGAATTGGTCGCTACAATCTTGGTATTGTTAACAAGGACGCCTTCTACTGGTATAAATACAGTAACATTGATATAAATGGTGACAGAACTTATTTCATTCATAGCTGTAACTTCCACAAAGTAGAAACCTTGAGAAAGGAAGGTCATCTCTGTTACATTGTAAGATGTGTGATATACATTTCTTCCATCACCTGCATCAATTCTGTAACCTGCATATGTATTGTCATTAACTTCAAATTCTAAACTCAAAGTCTCGTTAATCAGTAGAAATAGTCCTGGTGATGAAGTTACGTTTAATGATATAATTGACAGTGGCTGTATAAAATCTCTCAAACCTGTTGCTTGCTGTATTTTCTGGTCATGGAGGCAATCATTTGTAATTGTCAAATTCTCTGAATCAAAAATCTCTAAAACATCTTCATCATGGTTCAAACAGAAGCATGTTGAAGAAATAACATAGCTGTAAATGTAGGTTAGGTTCTTGCAGTACCATGAACAGTCCATTGAGGGCGATAGAACTGATGCTGAAGAAACAGATGTATTGAAAAGGCATCCTGCATCTTGTACTACAATAAACAAATAATTTCTGTTAAGTGCATTTTAATACCTTTGTAAAAATAATTCAATGAATAACTCTTTATGCATTTTTATCCAAACATATTCAACAAATTAATCAATAAATACAGTGATAACAAGCCTTAGTGCCTAAATAAGGGGTTACCTCTCGCCTAAGGGTTTGTTCCTAATCTTTCAGTGTCATTTATCCTTTAATATCATTGCTAAATGTAGCTGGGTTTCAGAACTGAACTACCAGTATATTTTTTAATGAAGCAGCAGTCTAGAGTGTCAGTTGTGTAATTCATGAGCATTCATTCTGTAGGGCTTGAGAACTAGCTTGCAAATAATAATAAACATTACATCGGGAAATATACATATCAGCTTTTGTTAGCAATAACATCCTTAAGAAAATGATATGTTAAATTATTGCTAGGATTAATTGTCCCTAATTGATTGTATTTCCATGACTAGACAAATCAAAGATTTTTTCACAGCAGGGAAAAGTTAGTTATTTATATGTAATCGCTAAAAAAAGCAATCTATTAGAACCCAAAAAGAAATACATGGAGAATGTATGGACACAGATGATGCCCCGCTTGTATTTGACAATATAAAGGGACATAACTCAAGAACGATACAAGTGATGCTACCCAAATTCATACCTGATCTGAGTTTTGTGGTAATAAGCCTTGTGTAAAAGTTTCATAACATTTGGTTGAGGCAAACTTTAATTAGAGAAGGGAAACAATTCAGCAATTTTTCTATTAGTGAAGGGGCATAACTCTAGAACGATAAAAGTGACGCTACCAAAATTCATACTGGTGAGTTTTGTGGTAATAAGCCTTGTGTAAAAGTTTCATAACATTATGAAGAGGCAAACTTAAATTAGAGAACAGAACGAAAAAAATTCAGCAATTTTTGCATTTGTAAAGGGGCATAACTCTAGAACGGTAAAAGTGATGTCACCCAAATTCAAACTTGATCTGTGTTTTAAAATAAAAATGAGTTATTGCATGACAATATAGAAGGATGTATCGACAGACCCATATATGGAGGGACAAATGGTATGCTGGTTAAACGGTATACCCCCAATACATCTTACTTAAGGATAACATAATTAGTTTTATATGGGTAAACTCAATAAGTAGTAAAAACTAACTGCCTGGGCTAAAAGAATGAAGGATTTAAAAATAAATACCTGGGAAAAAATCCAAAAGGTATCGTGTAAACAGGTCGCAAGACTGGTCATTGAATGTGGTGTTGGTTGTATTGCTATACAAGTTACAGGTACCAAAATATTCATTATCACAGACAGTATAACTGTCACACTGTTGATCTGTACAGTACTGATAACACTCGTCCCGGGTAACCTCTGTGTACTGTTGTAGGAGATCTGCCTCAGGTCTCTTATGGACATTGTGTCTCCATAACCCAGCTTAAAATTCATTTCAACATTTAAATTACTTTTAGTCTATGTCATATGCAAGCAACAATGTCAATTTGATTTAAAAAAGGTATGAAAAACTTTTCTTATAATTAAACCCTAGTAAGCAACAGCAGTTCAAGTTATTTGAGCTTAAAATTATCAACTTTTCTAAACTCAGGACCATTTATACATATTATTGTATGGACATTTGTATTGTGTTGAAAAGCGTATGTTGACCCCAAGATTTTTTAAATATCCTTTGTTGTAGGGTTAATGTTTCAAATAATGAAATGGCCTAACCTTAAGGTTTAATATATTAATGTATTATATTTACCTCCATTTTGTAGTAATTCTTCTTCAAACACTGAAACATCTAGAATGATAAGTTCATCAATGTCAAACATTCCAAGGTCAACAGAATTACCAGTTTCTTGACCAATAATTAAGTTCTGCTCACATATTGTAGGAGGTGACAATCTAGCCTGTTGTATGGAGAAATCACATATTGCCAGGATGCCATCTATAAAAACTCTTATTCCAAAACTAGGATGCCATGTTATAAACAAATCAGTCCATATATCGTACTGAAGATTAAACCAGGTCGTATACTCATTTATTGAATTTCTTACATCAACTTGGAAGTATCTTCTGAAAGGTAAACTTGTATTCATTGCTGTGTATGTCATGGCAAAACCTAATCCATTTGGATTATCTCCTCCTGTTGTCATGATAACTTGGTCAACATCAAGATCATTGACCAATCTGAAGGCAAATCTGATTGTGAAGCCATGAAAACATTTATTGATATCAAAGAAACACATATCTGTGTCAAGTACTGATGTCATATTGATAGAATCTATGCCAGATACTAATCGAGCGGCATTATTCCATACTCCTGTAATCACTGATGAAGTATTCAAATAACTTCCCAAGTCATCAAATGAGCAGTAAGCTTCCTTGTGTATAAAGGTTGAATTTTCTGAAAAATGGATAAAATTGAAATTATAATCTTATAAAATTTGAAAATACTTATAACAAAATACATTATAGGTTGCAAATGTTCATATATTCTCATAAGGGTTACTTTGACTTGCTAGTAAGTGTTACAGCCCTGTCTTTTCTATAAGATAAATACTTAAACAAACTGCAATTTGTAGAAACAAAACAAAAAGAGCAATTGATAAAAACAGTTATCCAATTGCTAAATCAAGACTCCAACAAGTCAACAGTGTTAATAGTGCAATGACAAAACAACAAGTATTCAGGCATTATTGCCTTAGCATACCCTCAATAGTACCGGGGTAATTTAAAGTATCGGAAATCTGGAAGTAGTTGTCAGACAGATCCAAATAGGACACAAACATTACCACTAATCACTGTTGAGCTGTTGAGATGTTGACCAAATATAAAGTTATTTTTTGCCATGGTATTGTAAATTTCTTCAAATTATGTCCCTTTTGTATCTTAATTATAGCTGTTTTTTACCCATTAGTTTGGTTGTAAAAAACAAACTCCAGTTAAAAAATAAATCTAACTTCATAGACATGATAAATCTATTCACAGTAAACACATCTTGAAATTTAATTAAAGCTGAAGAGATCTATTTTTTCTTTTATTGTAAGTTTTTAATGTACTTACAAAATTAAAATTCATTTTTAATTCTGGTATTATTTTTTCCAATTGATGGTTTAAAATGAATATACTTCCAAAGCCTGATTGTTTTTTTTTTTATTTATTTCTATTGTATAAATGTTAAATTCTAGATTTCTATTGTATAAATGTTAAATTCTAGATTTAGTTTTTTTCTCAATAAATAATATTGCAAATATTATAAATAGATATTTTGTTGGTTTATCTCTAACCTAAAATTTTCATTTTTTCACATCTTAAGTTTGTTAAGGATAAATTTATCTGAGGTATATTTAGTAAAATTAGTAAATAAAATACCATAAAATTGTATTAGATCCAGTTGATTGATAGGACTTCTGATGACCATTAACTCATCAACACCACCCTTTACATTCACTGGTAGACCTGTACTGACTAAAGTTTTGTCTATCTGTAGCTTTGTTACTGGGTCCAAGCCTGGAACAGGTGTCATAGATCGGAGATGTTCATCAGTCATTAAAATACCATTTACAGTAAACAAAGTTGTTCCATTTATGTACCAAGTGACACCAAGGTGAGACCAGGTTTCTGGTTCAAGGTCAAAAGGGAAGTGCTTTTCAATGGTTGTACCTTGCTTAATATGGAGCCACATTTTATTGGATAGGAAAAAATCAAATGTTCTAAATTCTATCCTAACACCAGTGTTGTCATTCATGTTATCAAATATGACGTAGTTGGTAGTGTAACTTGGTGCCATTATCCAAACAAACATTGTAAATCCTTCAAGGCAAGCATTCTGTGAGCCAAAACAATCACATGCAAATTGTCCAATAAAATCTACCATAGTAGGAGATGCAGAGTCACTAAATATAGCATTTCCAATGTATCCTTCATCACACCAGGATGTACTCCCGGCTTCAATAGGTATTCTCTTTGATACATCATCAAATGGAAGTTGGAATCTTGGGAAAAATTCATACACTGAAATAAAGGTTTCAAACGATTTATATATTTTTCACAAAAAAGAATATTTAGGAAACAAAATATTTACTTTTTTGAAGAGCAGCCAAACAAGAATTGCTTACTACAAAATATATTGCCATTATTGAGGCTGTGCCTTTATAAATAAGGAATATATGGTGACCTCTACATGTCTTTTGGTTAGTTGTGTCATTGGGTTGCTGTCTAATTGATTTATACCCCACATCTCATTATCAATATATAATAAATCTCTGGCTATATGACTTCTACTCATTTATTTCAACCATCCTCAATTAGTTACTACATGATTTCTCCAATAATTTGACAATCTTATCAAAATGAGATATTCAATCAGGAATTTAAGAACTTATTCCCCATATGTTCATTGCTATGGATGCCAATACATAATTAACTATCAATCAGCTTTCTAAGCTGTGAAAATCATTAGAACACAATTACAACATTTTCTCGTATGAAATGTTTAACATTTGCCATTCAAGGCCTTTTATAGCTGACTATGCAGTATGGGATTTTCTCATTATTGAAGGCTGTATGATGACTATAGTTGTTAACTTCTACGTCATTTGGTGTCTGGTGGAGAGTTGTCTCATAGGCAATTATACCACATCTTCTTATTTTTATATTGCAAATTGTTGTTTGTATATGAGATGTAAAAAAACACCAGAATTGTTTTAACTTTCTAAACTTCATTATTTAAATTAAAAGATTGTGAATATCATACCATCTTGTTTCAAAGGCAATACCATTAAATTACTTGACTCTGTGAATGTCAGGTTATCCATCATAATTAAAGCTTGGTTTGTGCCATTTATTCCTGATCCTAAAGTGATATCGGCAGCTACACCAAAACTCCTAATCGATACATCAGTCATGTTAGTGTTTGAAGTGATGGGAACAGCCAGTTCTCCATTCAAGTAAATAATGGCTTGAGAATCTAACGTTATGCTCAATACAACATATGTCCATGCATTTGACGATACTGATACTTTGGTTGTCATGTAGAAGATCTTGTTACGAACATCTACGCCAAGCAGGTAGTGACTTGTATCAGTAGTAACGTATATACTTATACCATGAGAATTATCCGACTTCATGTTGGAATACACAACTTGTTTCGATGACAGTGATATATTTCCAATCGTCATTAGCCAAAATTTTATTGTTAGTCCATTATGGCAATAATCAAAGTTAGACATACAGTCATCAGCATGGATCATTTCTATATAAGACTGATTGAACAGCATGCTTTCATTTGTAACTCCTCTGTGTACTAATATTTGACCTTTCACATCATATTCAGTATCATGTAGATTGGTGCTGTTGATGTAGAATGGAGTTTCTTTCACATCTGTAATTATATACATATTCAGAATGAAATACATTTCCTTCATCAATCATCCAAGATTTTACATTAATGTGGTGACATATTTGAGACTACCCAGCAGGCACACAACGTTGAACCAACGTTGAAAATATGTTGAAATTTGGTTGTAGCGTTGATCAACGTAAAATCAACGTTGTATCAACGTCAATCCTATCAACGTTTAAATCACGTTGTTGAATCAACGTTGATTTGTGGATAAAAATATCAACGTTGAACTGTCAACGTTGAATCAACATTGAATTTAAGTTAATGCTTTCAATGTTTTGATAGGTTGAAATTATAACGTTGATAAAAGGTTTATTTAAGGTTGATGACTTTAAGTGTGGACCGAAATTTCATTCCAGATGAGATTGAATCATTTTATATATATATACAACTTTGCAGGAATTATTGGGAATAAATGTTAATAAATTGGAATTCACTAGAACATGGTATTGTTTTACATATTGATTTTCATTATTGATTTCACTTTTTGTTGATTTTTTTTATTACTCTAGAAACCCCAAGTCAGGCCATATAGATCTTCCGTGGGCTATTCCTGAAATATCCTCCATCAAACAATGTTTTGACAAATACAACTAAAATCCTTTCTGTTTAAATAATCACATTTTATTTATATTGGTTTACTGATGTTTTTGAATAAAATCAATGATTACTGTTGCATGTGTATATAAATCTTCAAATTTACACGATAAGAGCGAATGAATTAACTTATGCGAAAGAGATTTCTTTTTCTAATTTGCGCATGCGTATGAGGCCGACATTTCGAATTTATTTGCGCCAGTATGATTACCACAACAAGTTAACAGTTGCTCGAGGCAGTGCAAAGTAAGTATAATTTTCATTCATTGTTTGCTTTAATAATAGTTATATGATAATTTAATGTAAACAGTATTGTAGCTGTAATTATTCGATGTCCCCGCAAGTACGGCACATAATTATAACCCCTTTTTTGAAGTTCACCTATGTAATCTCAAACTCGATATTTTATATGTTGATGTAATTAAAAGTCAAAGATTTACAACGCATGGCATTCTTGACCTTGAAATACATTTTAAATAAACAAATTATATATATTTTCTCTGCATCAGAATAGTCATCATGTCACTCACAGCATGTATTCCGAAGATTTACTAATCATGTGAAGCAATACGGCGGATAAGAAACACGTGTGACCATAACAAATAAATACACAATCTGACTAATTTCAAAGTGGTTTATTTGATACTGAGTTATGATAAAGTCGAAATAGATGCTTGTTCAATTGACCGCACTGAATTATTACAGACCAAAAAATTCAAGGAAATAGACAATATTCCTTTAGTTTTAATATCTAAACATAACCCATATGCATGTATACGTAAAATTTAAAAAAGATGTATCACGTCGGAAAGACTTGAATTTATTGCAGTTTGAAGAAGAATGTAAACTAGCTAAGGGTCAAAGTTGAACTACTGCTTGAGTATAGCAAACATGCTGAAAATATTAATTGATGAAATATTTAAATATATAATGAAATATATCAATAAAAAAAATTATACATGAATAATAAATAGATACCAGGATTGAAATTCTATATTTGCTCCAGACGCGCGTTTCGTCTACAAAAGACTCATCAGTTACGCTCGAATCAAAAAATGTTAAAAAGATCAAATAAAGTACGAAGTTGAAGAGCATTGAGGACCAAAAATTCCTATAAGTTTTGCCAAATACAGCTAAAGCATCTTAAGGTGACCACCCAAAGCTTTATCTGCCGAAACGCTTTGTTTTATAGGTTTTATACTAACAACATAGGCGGGTCCCCCCTTTTGTGGGAAAAATTTGGTTGATTATGAAGGGAATCACTGAAGCATGACTGGAGCGGGCCTCCTCTTAGGGCAGTCAGTTGGCCAATCCTAATGAAAATTTCGGGATCCGCCACTGAACAATATGAGTTGCTGTAAATATCTCGGTGCTTGTGGGGCATTATTGTATCCCAAGATGAGAAACTGTCAAGATCTTGGTGCTTGTGAGGCCTTATTGTATCACAAGATGAGTGACTGTCCAGATCTCGGTGCTTGCATTGCAATATTGTATTTCAAGATGAGTGACTGTCAAGATCTCGGTGCTTGTGGGGAATTATTGTATCTTAAGATGAGTGACTGTCAAGATCTCGGTGTGCTTGTGGGGCCTTATTGTATCTCAAGATGAGTGACTGTCAAGATCTTGGTGCTTGCGGTGCAATATTGTATCTCAAGATGAGTGACTGTCAAGATCTCAGTGCTTGCGGTGCAATATTGTATCTTAAGATGAGTGACTGACAAGATCTCGGTGCTTGTGGTGCATTATTGTTTTTCAAGATGAGTGACTGTCAAGATCTCGGTGTTTGTGGTGCATTATTGTTTCTCAAGATGAGTGACTGTCAAGATCTCGGTGCTTGATGTGCATTATTGTTTCTCAAGATGAGTGACTGTCAAGATCTCAGTGCTTGTGGTGCATTATTGTTTCTCAAGATGAGTGACTGTCAAGATCCCGGTGCGTGTGGTGCAATATTGTATCTTAAGATGAGTGACTGTCAAGATCTCGGTGTTTGTGGTGTAATATTGTTTTTCAAGATGAGTGACTGTCAAGATCTCGGTGCTTGTGGTGTATTATTGTTTTTCAAGATAAGTGACTGTCAAGATCTCGGTGTTTGTGGTGTATTATTGTTTTTCAAGATGAGTGACTGTCAAGATAAACTAAATTGAAATGCCATTAGCTTATTGTGAGATCTTCAAACTATGATTTAGGATTAAAATTAATTCTAAAGCCCTTGGTCCTAGAGGCGAACCTTTTGAGGGAAAAAATTGGTTGACTGTATAAGAAATAACTGAAGCATGACTGAGTGTGCCCCCTCTTATGCACTCATTGGGCCCCCTTATAAAATTTCCGGATCCCCCACTGATTCCAGAATCTTGTTGGATTCTGCAGGACAAACTTCCCTCAATGCTACAATAAAAATAATTGAACTTAAAGATTTTCAACCAAATTGTGAAAAGTTTTGGAAGTCCAAATTTTGTAAGCGTTTCACACATATGAAACTTTATTTTTCTATTTCAAGTTATAGAAGGAGTTGTGACAATTTGGAAATGCTGCACTTAAAAGTGTCTTTTTTGTAGATGTCTTCACCAATGAACCCATGTCTGAAAAATACATGACGGGTAAAAAGAATAAACATGCCTTTGGTGGTTCAAGCTTTTTTGAAATAATAAGAGGTGAGTATTGAAATATATATCATTGTTTTTCGACATTAAAAAGTGTGTGAGATTTTGTCACAATTTCTTTTAAATGTGCTCTAGCATCATTGTCTTCTAAAATCTATAGATTTTTTGTATTAAAAATTTTGTTTTTATTATATATGAACTCAAGGTTAAAAAAAGCACAAGGTTGCTCCCAATAAATATTTTAAAAAATAACAATATCACTGTACAGAGATTATTTGTTCACATATTACAGTAGTGTTCTTTATTTGAGCTGCAAAATAATATTAACCTAGTTATGATAAAGATAGTATAATATGGTTTTTTTCTGTTGCAGATGCTATAGCTACAAGTCACAAATGTGCAACATGGACAAAAATATGGAACTAGTGTGCAATATACCTAAAATACGCCTTGAAATATCGGGGATGTGTCTAGCAAAAGGACTAACATTTTAAATAAAATTAAGTATTCAGTTTGTGTTTGTTTGAAATTGTAAGATGCATATGTGAGCAAAATGTTATATAATTACTGTTTTATGTCACAAACATATTTTGTGTATGAACAAACATGATCCTGTCTATTATGAAAAATGAAAGTACAAAAATGTATGCCAACTGACACTACAATAAAGTTTAAGATTATCTATGCCTGGTAATGTTAATAAGTTGTGCCTGTACTTCTTGTCAAGTCTTGCATCATAAACACCAGATTCAGAAGTGAGTGGTCTCATTACAAGTATAATAATTACCAAAACAAAGGGAATGACTTATTTTCCACTTAATCATAAAATTTAGCGAAATACAATAAGGGAAATATTGGAACAGGCAGAAATCTCCTAAATAATGAACTCTGCAACAGACTACATGTACACCAACCACCAACACATGACTACTACCACTTATTACATATAGTTTTGTGAAAGTTTTATTACACATAAAATGGCACTGATGGATATAATGAGTGGTAATGATTTCAGCTGTTGACAACCCACAATTTAACCAATGTTCAAAATCATATTCTCAACATTGACCACATTTCGAGATTCAACTTGCATTAACGTTTAGCCTAAGACAGTCTACCTGGGCCCAAATCGGAACTATTTTATTTAAATAGAGTATTAATACATAATACGTTTTGGAATGCTGGTCAGTAGTTACTCGGGGACACTCGCATGTCTAGGTTTTTAACCAATCAGCAATGGGGTTTCCCAGTCACTGCCGCATGTGCTTCTCGTTTACTAATTGTTTTTCGAGATCATACTAATTAACCAATGAGATTCATAGCTAATTTTGAATTAACCAATCAGCGCTTAATTAGCCGGGCTTTTGTTTTATGCACACAGGCTCAACTATTCCTAAAGCAACGCTGGGAAAATTTTTTCTTCCCACCCTCCAACTCCCTTAAGGACATTTAATTTTATTTGCTAAAAGATGTATACACATGCATAATACATATGTTTATTTGATAAGAAGCATCAACTTCACATATCTTTTTGTATTGTTTAGTAGAGTAGTATTGTTTAAAGAACTCACAGTTATTATGTACTTTTTGTTAGGAGTACCACAGTTTTTCAACTTGATTTTGCTTTCTTTGTAAATATGTTTATTGCTTTATTGATATGCAAAGAAAATATTAAACTGTGATTCTTTCTCCCAAACCTGTGTCTGTTTACTTTATTCCTTATACTATGACCAGTTGGCATTTCTTGGTCCCTTTACTGAACTCTGATAAGTGTAAATCAGGTGCCTTTATCTGCACTGTAACTCTTCAGCATTCGGTCAGGGCACCAAAGACATAGCAGACTGGTTATTGGTACAACTGACATATACACAGCATAATAAGGGAGGATCTGGGTGGGACAGTGTTATGAATTAATCTACCTATTTTCAACATACACTGACCACAGTTCAACCAACATTCGACAGGTTTTCAGCATACACTGACCACAGAACAACCAGCATTCGACCTGATTTCAACATACAGTGTATACACTGACCACAGTTCAACCAAAATTTGACATATTTTCAGCATACGCTGACCATAGTTCAACCAGCTTTCGACCTAATTTTAACATACAATGACCACAGTTCAACCAGCATTCGACCTGATTTCAACATTTACTGACCACAGTTCAACCAGCATTCGACCTAATTTAAACACACTAACCACAGTTCAACCATCATTCGACTTGTTTTCAACTTGCATTGACCAAATTTAGACCAAAATTCAACCTATTTTCAACGTTGGAAGCTGACGTTGAATCAACGTTATATTTTCAACGTCATATCAATTTTCAATCCAACACTACTTTTCAACATTGATTCAACGTTGAAATCTGACGTTTATTCAATGTTGAATCAACGTTGCTGTGCCTGCTGGGTAGCTACATTGTAGCAGTATTGCTCACTCTCAAACAAAATATGTAAAACTAACATATTTCATGTTTTTCTCAGGCTCTTGTACAAATGGTAGAAATCTGACATATTTCAAGAGACTTACAAAATAAAAATATAAAATCTCACACAAAGGCTATAAGTCTTGATCATTCGTTATATATTTTTTATTTTATCCAGTATTTTTAGTAGAACTGTGATTTTATTACTTTTGTATGCTTAATCAATTTATTTCCAAAGCTTACAATAAAATATTGTATTATTTGTCCCTTTCTTGGAGGATATTTAATGATAATTTGGCTTCACTGTCAACTTTTACTAAGAGTTGATCATTATTTGTTAACTAAAATGCTGGAGCAATTAAGTTAAAAAAAATTTGGAAGCGTTTTGTTAATAAATTAATTCTAATGCAATTAAAAAACATAATTAAATCTAAGAATTAAGAGTCAGGTCCCTTTGTAAAGGGAAAACACTTGTTTCTAACAGTCAGTTATGGGCAAATTTTCATCACTGTGAATGCTGCTGACATTGTAAAAGTGTAATGTTGACTGTAAAAAATTAAGTCCTTTCTCAATAAAATACAGATTTTTTTTTTTAATTAAAGTTTTTCTTCAGATGCCATTTCTTGATCTTGAACATAAGCTTCTGTATATGTTTAAAAACAATCTATGAAGATTTATTTTCATTATTTTGTTCTGGAGAATGTATTTTGATCATAAAAATGCTTCAGTCTAATTTAAGTAGGAATTTCAGTAAGGTTTGACAAAGTTATTGATTACTGAAAAACATAAACCACAGAATGAACCTAAATGTTGACTCTGCAGCAGACAAGAGACTGTAGGATCACAACATTTCGCTTATGCAACATAAATATTGCAGGCAGGGAAAACAAAATGACTAAAAAGTTCAAAGACAACTGTAGACTGCACACATATATCACTATGAGCTATGTAGAAAATAAAACTTACACATTGGTTGTTGTTCACATATATAATAGATATTAGACGAACACAGAGCATCCTCAAATGTTCCAATCTGAGAGAATAATCTAGCACATCTAGGCATTGCAAGTGTCCCAGGAAACTGTATCAAAGATACATCTGTAAAGTCTGGTATCTTCCCATTTTGTTGTCGGATAGGGAATGCAGCTACAGCCCTCGGTAACTGTGTAAGGGCTACCCATGCAGACTGTTGTGTTTGAAATACTACAAGGTACATAATTTTTATTCAATTTTCTCAAATAAATTTAAAAGAAGAAAAAATTAAGTTTGTTGTTTAGTAGCAAACAGCATAAATTTAATCAATGAGATGAAGAACAGTCATAAAATATTATTTCTTGCATTTTGTTTTTTGTTGTGTGCATGGTGATTTTGTGTTATGAATATCAGTATATCAACTTGCAAAATGAAAAGCTTAAACACATCAAACAAATAGAAAACAACCATCATATTCCTGACTTGGTACAGATATTTTATATGTAGAAAATGGTGGATTAATTGTTAACTTTTTATACATTGTGACTTGGATGGAGAGTTGTCTCATTGGCGCTCATACCACATCTTCTTATTTATTTAAACCTGGTTTTATAGCTAGATAAAATCTCACTTGTATGGTTTTCTATTCTAATATTGATTCTATGCATTTAATGATATTTTTTTAAATAAAATACATAGAAATTTTATCAAAGATAATAAAGGTCTTTGTTGCATTTAAATGCTAATAAAGTACTGACAAAGTATATTCAATATAATCATTATATCTACCATTATATAAATACATATACCTGAAAACATAAAATCCTGTAAAGCAGTTCTAGTTTCCAAATCTGGAAGTTGAGCTAAACTGGCCCCCATACCAGTACATGCTGTAGAAGCTGATGTGTATATTGCTGTACTAGTAGATAGATAGTAACATTTGTCAGATACTTCAACGTACTCCCAGCCTTCAGGACATTCATGTTTCGTACCTAAAAAATAAATATTTAAAAATATTGATAAAGTAGGAACTATTTTATTTTTGTGCTTACAAAGTTAAGTAACATCAGTTTCATAGCAATATTAACTGGTCACCTTGTAGTAAAATGCTGGTTGGCGATGAACCTGTCCCTTTTAACTATGGAAACTAATTAAAAAAGAATACTGACTTTATATTTATCTGTATCTTACAAAGAATGACGAAGATCTACTTATTCCTTTTGTTTGCAACATAAGATAAAACATATTGCAAATGCTGACCTTGACCTTAAGCCTGATCTTCACCTCTAACCGTTAAAATTTGAAATCAATAGGACTGATCCACTTTTTATGGCAAATAACAGTACTACGTTTGAAAATTTATTACTAATTAATTTAGTCTTGTCCCTGTATAGCCCTCACATGCATATTACATTATTTAAAATAAATGTGATAATTTGGAGAGTATATATAGTATGCCATTTTTCACATCCTTCAAAATAAACCTGCAAATCACATTATTTAGTGATTTGTACCGATTATTAGGTTGTCTGCATACTGATATCATAAAATAACAGCTGGGAGTCATAATATGAAGCTTTATATCAAGTGAGTGAAGCAAACAAGTTCAAAAAGGCTTCATATTGTGTCCAGCAGCTGATATTTTACAATATCAATATGCAGACAACCAGATAATCGATTTATCGGGTTGTATTTGCAAATTTGCATAATGGAAACAAGTGTTTTCTTTATTTCACCAGAAAACCGGAAAAATGTCTTGATAAGTTCGGGTCAAAGTTTTTATCGTCAGTTCATGCATTTATGACGTCGTTGATATGTCCGGATAAAAGTTATTAAGGTCGGGTCAATGTATTTGACGTCACAAAGCCGTGATATGCAATTTTATTAAGAGGTGAGCAGAGTGATATAGACAGTGAGACCACCGATAAATGTGTGTTTACCATTTAACTTACCAAAGAGTTTCTTGATTTCAACATCTTCCAAGAAATCATCAACGATGGTAAGTTCATCAACAATTAATTCCCCAACATTGTCTGGTTCATATACTGAATAGCCAATAGTAATTGGTCTACTAACTTCTGAGAAGGAAGCTTCTGTAATAGACATGTGTTCTGGATATCTTCCAAAATCAGCAGTGGAATGACCATTCAGTGCTACAATGAGGGTCAAATGTGGATTCCAGGTCAAGGTCAAATGTAACAACTGTTTCTTCATTATAGAGAATTCTAAAGTCCAGCTGTTTGTTCCATTAAGAATGATTGCACTGCAGTTGAGTTTG